GAAAATATGCGATGGTGTAGTCTCTGAAAATTTTTCGTCGGTATTTAACATCAACAAGAAACGTGTTATACCCGCGCCCAGGCGATTGGAAATTCCGATTTTTTGCAACTGCCAACTGTCTTACATTGAAAATCAGACCATGATCGAATGCACTTCATGTTTAAAATGGTACCATCCGAAATGTTGTAGTATTTCAGTGCCAGTTGAGGCACTGGAAAACAGCGAAATAGAATGGAATTGCAAAAAGTGCATTCGATGCTAAATTACATGCAAAGCAATATTCAACTAGATATGATCATTTACATTCTCATTTTTTTTAGGTACATCGTTCAAGTCAGACTAAGGATCAGTCTGTTTTACCTATTTGGCTTAACATGCCCTTTGCCAGGTTTTTCTCTCTTGGTCTAGTCTATAATATTGAGATGAAAACCGCCACGATGGTTGGCACCTTGACGTGGTGTGGTGGCTTTCTACTAAGACCAACCATTTTAAAAATTTTTTTTAAATATAAGATAGATCCCTAGTATGAAAGAACGAGATGATTTCACAATTCGTTTATGTTATCTTACTTAAATTGAGGCACGCCATTATAATGTATACAGTATCCTGGGTTGTGATAGCGTTGTTTATTAATTTTAAGTCGGATTCTTGTTTGGGCCATGTTTGACAAGATAATATTATACGTTCCCGACATACAATTTTCCAAAGCCTTGGTTCGAGGTTACTTCACAATATGTTTTTTGGGATATTTTATTCAAAAGTGGGGCACGTAATCGAAAAGTCCAAAATTTGGGGTTGAAATACTGATATTTATTAATTTTGATGTAAAATTCTTGATTGTGCCATGTTTGACAAGATATTATTATATGTTCCCGACATACAATTTTTCTCAAACATGGTTCGAGGTTACTTCACAATATGTTCTCTTGGGATATTTTATTCAAAAGTGGGGCACGTAATCGAAAAGTCCAGAATTTGGGGTTGAAATACTGATATTTATTAATTTTGATGTAAAATTCATGATTGTGCCATGTTTGACAAGATATTATTATATGTTCCCGACATACAATTCTTCTCAAACTTGGTTCGAGGTTACTTCACAATATGTTCTTTTGGGATATTTTATTCAAAAGTGGGGCACGTAATCGAAAAGTCCGAAATTTTGGGTTGAAATGCCGATATTCACTAATTTTGATGTAAAATTCCTGTTTGGGACATGTTTAACAAGATATTAATATATGTTCCGACATACAATTTTTCTCAAACTTGGTTCGAGGTTACTTCACAATATGTTCTTCTAGGATATTTTATTCAAAAGGGGGGCACGTAATCGAAAAGTACAAAATTTGGGGTTGAAATACTGATATTTATTAATTTTGATGTAAAATTCCTGTTTGGGCCATGTTTAACAAGATATTATTATATGTTCCCGACATACAATTTTTCTCAAACTTGGTTCGAGGTTACTTCACAATATGTTCTTTTGTGATATTTTATTCAAAAGTTGGGCACGTAATCGAAAAGTCCAAAATTTTGGGTTAAAATGCCGATATTCACTAATTTTGATGTAAAATTCCTGTTTGGGCCATGTTTAACAAGATATTAATATATGTTCCCGACATACAATTTTTCTCAAACTTGGTTCGAGGTTAATTCACAATATGTTCTTTTGGGATATTTTATTCAAAAGTGGGGCACGTAATCGAAAAGTCCAAAATTTTGGGTTAAAATGCCGATATTCACTAATTTTGATGTAAAATTCCTGTTTGGGCCATGTTTAACAATATATTAATATATGTTCCCGACATACAATTTTTCTCAAACTTGGTTCGAGGTTACTTCACAATATGTTCTTCTAGGATATTTTATTCAAAAGTGGGGCACGTAATCGAAAAGTACAAAATTTGGGGTTGAAATACTGATATTTATTAATTTTGATGTAAAATTCCTGTTTGGGCCATGTTTAACAATATATTAATATATGTTCCCGAAATACAATTTTTCTCAAACTTGGTTCGAGGTTACTTCACAATATGTTCTTTTGGGATATTTTATTCAAAAGTGGGGCACGTAATCGAAAAGTCCAAAATTTTGGGATAAAATGCCGATATTCACTAATTTTGATGTAAAATTCCTGTTTGGGCCATGTTTAACAATATATTAATATATGTTCCCGACATACAATTTTTCTCAAACTTGGTTCGAGGTTACTTCACAATATGTTCTTCTAGGATATTTTATTCAAAAGTGGGGCACGTAATCGAAAAGTACAAAATTTGGGGTTGAAATACTGATATTTATTAATTTTGATGTAAAATTCCTGTTTGGGCCATGTTTAACAGGATATTATTATATGTTCCCGACATACAATTTTTCTCAAACTTGGTTCGAGGTTACTTCACAATATGTTCTTTTGGGATATTTTATTCAAAAGTGGGGCACGTAATCGAAAAATCCAAAATTTTGGGTTAAAATGCCGATATTTACTAATTTTGATGTAAAATTCCTGTTTGGGCCATGTTTAACAAGATATTAATATATGTTCCCGACATACAATTTTTTTCAAACTTGGTTCGAGGCTACTTCACAATATGTTCTTTTGGGATATTTTATTCGAAAGTGGGGCACGTAATCGAAAAGATCAAAATTTTGGGTTAAAATGCCGATATTCACTAATTTTGATGTAAAATTCCTGTTTGGGCCATGTTTGACAAGATAATAATATATGTTCCCGACATACAATTTTTCTGGAACTTGGTTCGAGATGACTTCACAGTATTTTTTTTGAAATATCTTATCTGAAAGTGGGGCACGTAATCAAATAGTACAGAATTTTTGGTTAAAATGCCGATATTTTATTCAAAAGTGGGGCACATAATCGAAAAGTACAAAATTTGGGGTTGAAATACTGATATTTATTAATTTTTATGTAAAATTTCTGTTTGGGCCATGTTTAACAATATATTAATATATGTTCCCGACATACACTTTTTCTCAAACTTGGTTCGAGGTTACTTTACAATATGTTCTTCTAGGATATTTTATTCAAAAGTGGGGCACGTAATCGAAAAGTACAGAATTTGGGGTTGAAATACTGATATTTATTAATTTTGATGTAAAATTCCTGTTTGGGCCATGTGTAATGTTTTGTGTAATTCCGAGTGTAGCAAAATTTCGCCGTAAATCTGGCAAGTACTTTGCGACTAGCTTTCCTTTTTTCCGACGCGGCATTTGAGTGCCATGTTAAATCGTTTTCTGGCAACGCTATTTTACCGTTCCGAAAACGAGAGAGATGTCCGCTGAGAGATGTCTGCTAGGGTAACTTTGGTTCTAAACCAAGTGTGGCAGGTAGCGAGTGTCAGAGCCAAAAGACCGAAAATTGAATAATGAGAGAGAGATTTGTTATTCATCAATTCAATAAAATTAGTTACCCTACCTACAGGTAAGTTTGTTAGTACTGCGTAGGCAACCCTCCTCGGAAACAGCTAGATATCTTATTTTAACTGCAAACCAGTTTCAAGAGTTAATGGGGGGGGGGGAAATAAATAGGAAATAAATTTGCAGGTGGCACTACCTATAGAAAAGGACCACTAACTGTTTTTACATTGTTCAGTTTTTGGCTGTTACAAGACTGACATACGGTAGTCTACTGTATCTTTGGAATTGTGAGACTTTTAGTACAGCATCATGCAGCCTAGCAGGTTTGCTTTGTCATGTGCTGGTGCATTGAATAAATTTATATCAAGAAATTTTGGAATGGATTTACATGGACCACACTCAACTTCAAAATTATGTTCTCACATCGCACTACTGAATATTCATAATATCAGACTGAAATCAGTGCCAAACAATGATATGATTGATCCTGTCAAGGGATCTCTTGTGTACAAAACCCCATCTATTATAAGAAATCTGGACAATTATATTTTTGGAATCCCAATTGCAATCATGCCGGAGGTTATAGAGCCAGAAAATGAATCAAAAGTTCCATTACTTGATCCAAATTTGGGAAATAGGCCGAAAATTGAAGCTCATAAGAGAGATAAGTATTGGAGAAGAAGAGGAATGAAGCACCATAGGTATCATGTTTTTTGTGTGTTTGTATGAATATGTATTGATTGATTGACATATGTGTTCTAAACTGGTGAAATAACTTATTCTGTAACATTTTTCAAAGATATCTGAGGTGGCGAAAAAGAAACGAAACTCTTCTAGCCCACAAAGAAACTGCTAAGCAAAAGAAGAAAGAAATAAAAGTAAAGAATGAAATTGCAAAGTGAGAAAGCCTAGTTTTAGCAAAAAATTTGATTCAGGTACATAATCGTTACAATGTTACATTAGATACAATATATTGAGATGCATAACTTTTGGCACTTGGTTTTGACATTTTTTTTCCTCTTTTATTTTGGTGGCATCAGCATACAATATTTTCAATTTCTGATATTATTTAATCTTCTGAATATTCCACATATGGCTGCCAGTTGCCTGTATATAGATATGAGTATACCTATTTTGCAGTATTTGGAAAGCTGCTGGCTTGGAACAAGAGCCCCCTGATATACCAGGTGAAGAGAGAGAAACTTTGGAACAGCAGTGGAAAAGACAAGGAATATGGTCTAGCGCGTTAACTTCTCAGGAAATATTCACCTTTGCCACACCACCTGAGCCAAAGAATAAGAAAACTCTTCCTGTGAAGGTGTTTAAAATACCCAGATGAACAAATCCGTTTACTCTTTGAATGGTCATAAAAAGATAACTGAAATGTTCATGCTAGAGTCTGTCACCAAAGCGCAATTCTATGTTGGAATAAATGTCTCGAACTAACACATGTTTAACATCTCAGTTTGAGAACTGAAGGTCTACTACTACTAAATAATGGTTTCAGGGATTTATCAACTCCACCTTTTTTGATTGGCCAGTTAGCGCGTTTCCCAGGCTACGATGCTAAGTCGTTCCTACGCCATTATTATTAATAACCACTGTTGTTAACTTGAACAAAGTTTTGAAGAAACTAGTTTTTTTAATAGTCACTTTCATCCAATGATCTTTATAGTGAAGACACAGTAAAGGAACTGCTTGCATATATATTGCACTTTCGAGTAATGAGCATGTGTGATAACCTTAATTTGATTGGAACTGTACCTCAAATCATCAAGTGTAAAAAAATTAATATTAATTAGGATCGACCTTAGTATAGATGTACGGAAATTCTCGCTGAATAATCAAATTATTAATGTTAATTTTGAATCTTCCATCTTCTGACAGATTCATTGTATAACATGGTATCTTCACCGAACATTGTAAAGCACAGTTTGAGGGTAGTTTGTAGTACATCAGCTTCCAAACAATTCACATGGGTAATAAATTTTCATCATCTGCATCATCATCAAGCTGGTCATCAGCAATACCACGATATGGTCTGCTGGAGTCAAAACCAGATTCTTGGCAACGACAAAGCCAGTCACATCCATCCTGCAGAAATACATGAATTGAAGATATTTGAATATACTTTTTCGCCATGCCCAACAAATTAATAACCCAGGTCAAATAAATAGAAATTTATCTTAAACTCCCTAATACACATTCCAAAATTTATAAAAGCGTGCAACTTACGGCTTGTAAACTTCCACATGTTTTCCAAAATCCAATGTTTGGTACTTGTTCCATGCCTTTCTTCCCATGTACGCAACGCTTGTACAACATTCCTACAGCCAAGTATACTGCAATGACACAAGCAAATCTGAAATGGCAAAGACTCATTTTAATTTTCTCTGCGAGCAAGTGTAAACACAATACAAAGAGTTCGAAAATGGCAGCAACAGAGATGATATTATAATGTACATAGCCTCATTTCTACATGTATCTAGTATATAATCCTTCGTAAGAGATGGTTATATATATCCCTTCATCTATTCCATATGTGGATTTTTACCTCATATAATAACTTACACTATCAATACTATGGATCCTGTACTAAGTCCTTGATCAACATTTGAACAAGCAACACTACTTTGCAATTCCATCAGATAGAAACAACTTTCACTTTCCTCTTTATTCTCTTCATAAAGCACAGTAAAGTTCCTCTATAAATCATAAAGAGATGATTACAGCAAGTATTGGTTAAATAGTTTGCTAATCAATGAATAACATTAGGGTGACCATATTTCCAAATCCTAAAAGGAGGACACATCGTTTGGTAGAACCATCGATATCTTAACATTAGTAGAACCTTATTTCACCTGTGACTAAATTCTCTAGGATTAAATATAGAAGTGACGAAAATGAAATAATGCATTTTTGCCTTTATTGAAAAAACATCTACAGAAGAATCAATTTATTTGTCCTTAGATCATGAGTATTTGGCTTTTCCTTTAATCTTTGTCAACATTGCCGCGTAATTTTTTGCAATATCGTAAAAATGGCTTGAAGTCTACGCAATTCAGATTCGGGATTGTATGAATATTTGTTTCTTTCTTCAATCGTAAATTTAACAGCATTAAGACAAGCTTTGATTTTAATAATGAAAGCCCCTGAATGATCATTATTCCTTATTTGTTCATTAAACACAGCAAGAAACGACTGCAAATGTTCAACGTGCAACTGCAAGCTGAGCTTGCCTTTATTCGCTAAAGTAGCGTAGCGCAAGTAATGCACTCCATTTCGCTATCAGTTCGACTTTTTCTAAATCATGTCTGTTTCGCCAAATTTACTGAAGTTACTGATGTAATTTTCTGCCGAAATCAAAATTTTACTATTGCAAAATATAAGGTGAAATGACGTAAAACATAATTGCAGAACAATCCACTTTTTACGTCATAAACGAGTGTGTATAACAATTAGCGTATGCATTTAATCTAGACTCCTAGTAGAGTAACCCCGTATGATATGCTATCACAACGCAATTTATTGCTTTTCATATGTCTAATGATAATTACAAGTCTCTACTTGGTTTAAAATTTTCTTAACACATCGAAAACGGTAGAATATATATCATAACAGAATTTTAAATATTTAATCCCTTGAAAAAGGAAGACATTTTGATGTTTCAGAGCGTCCTCGGAGGACATAAATTTTTAAACAAAAAAGTAGGACAAATCCTCCAAAAGGAGGACGTATGGTCACCCTAAATAACATACAAGTTGAACTCACTGCTAAATGATATTTATCACACATAATCATGACATGTGCCTGTCGTGGACTATGGCCACAGTGTGTATGGTAGGGATCCCCTCCTTTCAAAGTCAGCATTATCCAATTACTCCCCCTTTTTATTGAAGCTTGGTCAATTTTTCCTATGGTTTTAGTTTTATGGTCGACTAAGTCTTCTTGTGTCACTGCAATATTTGTTCCGGGTTTGATTTCAGAACAAATTGACAGAGTGTATTTATACACTTCGCGATCCTTTTCATCCTTGAAGTTATAGGTGAATCTGAAAATATAGAGAAATCCAAGGTGATTGAACGTTTATTAAATGTACACATCCCCAATGTATTTATGCCACACCTACTATATAATTTAGACATTCTCACTTAGACAATGGAGGCACTTCAAAAAGTGAATTTGGAAATTACTAATGGGAGAAAATCAGAAAATTATTAAGCATACTCCTTCGCAAAGGCCAAAAGAGCGATTGATCTAACACAGAGTCGTCCAAACTGCGGCCCTCTGGCCGAAGAACAATTTTAGCGTACACTATTAAACCATTGGCAGATATTTGTATCTTCAGCAGAACAATTTTGATTTATTTTCAAACTATTCCAACTGGGAATAGTTATTTTTCTAATCCCGATATCGGGATTGATGTTTGTTAATATCACAGAATTTCATTGTTGTATCTATAAACGTCAAGATTATGCCCATATGGGGATGACATTCTGTGATCTGTGAATAGGGAATGAATTGTCTTGTGCACACAGGACCAAGCCGATGATTTCGTGCCTTTATTTTAGTCAAAACACTCCACTATTTTCAAGCGTTGGCCATCTGACAGCAGTGACAAACCGCAGAGCTGACAGAGCGATCCACTTTTTTTTATCACTGGGTTCGAGGTCCGAACTTAGGCCTGCTAGTATTAAATTTTTTCAAATATAACAATTCATCATACAATGAGTGTAGAAAAAAAGGTGACTGAGGTAAACTGGGAGGAAACGTATTTGGTATCCACAACAATGTTAAACTACAGTGTCTGGTGTGTTTTCAAATAATATCTGTCACGAAAGAATATGATTTTAAGCGACTTCACAAAACGAAACACGGGATAGATACCAAAACTACCCTGATATTTCTCAGAAAAATCTTGGAGCGATGCTGTTCTCCATAAAAATGTTTCGCATCCATAAGTTTTAAGCCATTTCAAGGTGCCCTATCCTGTCCATTCGGTGCAAAGGCATGAATATATACAAATATTCCGTGATATTTCTTGCTTTCATTCTATTGTGCTTTTCCGAAAAGGCGGATAAAAACGATTTGATTGATTGAAGCAATTTTAAAATAACTAAAGGTTTCATATTGTTTCCATGAAAAACTGATTAGGACAATAAACTCTCATGCATATATTTAAAGTGAGTAAACTCGCAATGTTTTGATCACTTTTGGGTTTTCTCCGATTGCGGCCCTTCAACCTCGCAACCTTGGACTAAGAGGTATTTGGAAAGTCTTTATTTCATGAAATCTTTAAAGCAAAATCTTTATTTTAGGCATAACTTACATTTTGTCTTTGAGTGGATCCAAACTAGAGATGTGTCGTGAGGATATTGAATCTTTTTGGGCACTTAACGTGCATTCAGCAACAATAAGAGTATATCCAAAACTAAGCAGAAAAAGTACCTTCAACAATTTGAGGTTTGACAAAGCATCCATCTCGTAATGTTTCATATGTGAAGAATATAGTGATAAATACACTAAACAAATATTGATCAAAAGTTTAAAGTAATTTTCTAAATCAATTAACGCATATCGATTCAGACCATTATTAACACGAGTCAGTACTTGAATTTGAAGAACCCCACAATAAAAATAGCGGCTGAAGGATCTGTAATACAACAGAGTAGAGCACTTCTTTCGAGCATATTTGTAGTTAAAAATGGCGTTCAAATCCCAAAATACCTATTTTATTCTATTATTACAAAAACTCAAAATATGATTTTGCAATATTACTTTCAGCTACTATTTTAGTGTAAAACAAAAAAACTACATTTTGATAACGCATTCTACAATAATTTAATCGTTGAGTTTTTGTGTACAATGTTTTTACATATGTTTGTGGCAAACAATATTCAGTCTCCAAAAAGTAATGCTTGACAATGGCATTAATATATCTAGAAATTTTGCAAATAATTGAAACATTACATTGATAAATAAATTATTGTTATAATCAATATAAATGCTTCCAATGCTGCAAAAAAAGCTTTGTAAATGAAAAATCATCACAGAAAATCTTGCACCCCCGTTCTGTGTTAGAGTTGATGCACCAACACAAGAGAGTATTGAAGGTTCTAACACATTTCAGTCATATTATGCAAAATCATAGTCATCCCTTTCGTCATTAAATTCCATAATGTGCTTTCGTATTTTAGACGTCGATTTCCATGTTATAAAATCTTCCATAGTTCTAGTGACGAAATATGCAGGATCTGTTACAACATCTGTTCCAATTCTGATATGTCCTTGCTCAATCAATTCCGTGGCCATTTTCAAATTCTGCGACATGCGCAACTTAACGAGCATGACAGGTAAACGTCGCCTGCAAAATGTAGACGCCGTTATTTTGTCCACCAATGCCAGTGACTCTTTCGTAGGAATTAATCCCATTCTATAAAGTTTATCTAATAATTTTGCAGTACATCTTTCTCTAAAAGGATCATCGGTTTCGAGATCTCTTAGTTTGCGCGCTATCGATCGCACATGCCGACTCAATTTGTTATATGACGTGTAATCTTCTCGTTTTTGTATCCTATATTTCCTTAAAATCTTTATTTCATGAAGATTGTTATCCGCTTCCCAAGCGAAAAAATCTACTTTTTTCAACAACTTCTTTTCGTGATACTTCAACTGCCTCATGGTCGACAAATACTACGCGAAGCGATCAAATAATGACAAACAGAATCCACCGTACACTTCACCACAGAACGAAACGCTGATTCCACAATCTGGCGACGGAAATCACGAGCTCTGACATGTTCACACAGAGATATAGATATTTCCAGTTCAGTGCATGTTCATCAAATGTGAAATCATGCGGAACAGATGGTGGGCTTGTCCATTTGTCTAATCTGATATGTTAATCGTTGGTCTGGATCGGTCTGGATGTATGCGCTATATAACCAGAGCAAACGTACATAAATACTAACGCATCGTTAACATGACCTTGGCATGGATATGAAATGACTACCGCAGATTTTGATTTATTTATCTTCATACGAATGTACAATAACGCACACGCAAAAGGAACATCTTGTCGAACGGAAGAGACAGAATAACAGGGAAAACGAGAATGTAGGTCAGAGACCGAAGACTTATCGATCGAAAGTTAGGGGGATCCAAAACAGCGCTCTTACTCCACAGTGACACCTTGTGTCCCATTACTAATTAATTGATACCTCGCTAATTATACGACACAATTCGCCCAAAATCAATAGGCCTCAGGTACGAGATATGATGAATGCACATGCAAAATTTGCAGCAGATCCAATCTCGTTTTCGTGAGATATCGCGTACATCTAAAAGACAGACAGACAGACAGACAGACAAACAGACAAATACCTATCAACATACTTACCGATTAAAATCGATAAGTAACAAGCAAAATATCTGCACGTTCGTGGGAGAGCTGGACTTTGAGAACTAATGACGTTGTATGCAGGATACAGATTATCTAGAATGGGTTTCACGTCAGTATATTTCCAAACCTGCCAACATCATTTGGTGTGCGGTAATGATTCACATATTTGCATCATTAGCAACGCATTTGCGGTCATTTTGTAGCTCCAGAAACAAAATCTTACGAAAGCCCATTCCATGACTAAAGCTCTCAACCAGGACTTTTAGTTTGGCGTTGCAGACGGATAACTCGCTTACCGACGCAGATGGGCAAACCCTCCGCGATGGGCATACCCCTTTACGCATAAGCAAGTTTTTACTTTTCCAGTGTCTAATAAAGAAATGCTGATCTACTAACCCGCATAAAAAGACTATAAAAATTTATGAGGCACTCGAATATATTAAACAATACTGGACTAAGAAAAACAATTCTCAGAAAGTCTAAAAGTTTCCCATGGATAAATCATTGGTAGTCACAAAACTTGTGGCCAAGGGCACAGAATGTGTCGCAGTCAAGTCAGAAACAACATAGAGGCGACGTAACAATTACCGGCTTTCCTCTCCCCTGGGATAAATATGTAAATCCTATCCTAATATAAGTCTTATTTATAAGTAAATGGATATCTATTTTCATATTTTGTACATTTGAAATTTGAAAATCTCGCAATTCTGTATTTTGTAATTTTGTTTTTGATAAATTAGAAGACATCCCCCAAAATAAGCCCTTCGAAAGAAATTTGAAATAAGACCCTGTCTTATTTTTGGGGAAACACGGTAGCCGCCCACATGGTTACAATGTGAAGTAGTAGCGACTAGCTATGCACAGTGACGAAGAAAACTAGGTTCAAGTACTTCAATTCAAGAGTTTAGCTGACACTGTGCATTGTGCTACTGGTATATGACAACGTTACGGTAGCGGTAGTCTATCAGCTTGTACAGATGTAGATTATCTTAAAATAGATTTATGCATAAAAGCAGTGTAGTGTAGCAGGTACCGGAATGAAAAGGAAATAAATTCACATAAAACTGATCGGCCCCTAAGCAGGCGCACATCATATAAATAGTCATGGATCAAGAAAATGACTGACTTGTCAAGAGTGTACATACCGGTAGGTTGGATATCAATAATTGCAGATATAGCAGAAAATGGGGAATCCGGAAGTATGCGCACCAAGATGTCGCACAACCTGAACCCTAACCTGGTACACAACCTGAGTCCAGGATGTGCGCCATCTTGGTGCGTATACTTCAGGAGGTCCAGAAAATGTAAATGAATGTAGCGAAAATATATTAGTAACAGAAGGTCATCGATTAGTTATAGTTGTTAGAGCTGAACATTGCAAAACTCAACATTTTTTAATCAATACAATATATTTTGAAAAAAAATAATGCCCAATTAAATATTTTGAAACAAAATTGTGCTTATGAATATGTATACCCGTTTACATGCTTTAACTCGCTAATTCAATCTCAAAATAAGCATCGAACTTTTTCACCATATTGGTAAACTATGTGAGAAAACATCCGGGGGGATCGGAAAAACATCCACAAGGTGAATTTCACGTTATAATATTTTATCTGAGATTCCACGTTGCATGCTAACACGCAATAAGGCTTAATTTATTAGGAATGGTTAATTAGTACCACCCCGACAGGGAATTCCTTGACCCAATTATTATTACGCCATCTATACGGTTGCCCACGATCGCAAGCAAATAATTAAATCGATAGATTTGTCCCACAGAAAATGCTCATGTTAACGACAAGAATAAAACAACACAGCGGTGGGAAAGTTTAAATTTACAGAGATGGGGTAGCCTGGTAGCCTACTATATATATATATGAGTATCACTAGGGTAGCATTCCTTTTTGGTCATATATATATACAATATTCCAACAAAAGTTATAATTATGCATGCACCTTACCAAAACAAAGTTTTAATTAGCGTAATGGGCATTGGGAACCGAACTATATTCTTGTTGGTTTTTAACTACCAAAAAATAATGAAATAAAATTTCATTTTGATCTATAAAATTTATATCTCAATGTTAAGTTACAGTACAAATCCAATAAATTTGGATGCACTTAGAAAATAAAGTAAAATATTATAGGAAACACTGATGATATTATTAAATGCGACTTTATGTTACCGTGAGTTTAAAAATGACTAACAGTGGTACGGAAACGTCCACAGTTTGATATCGTCTAATCTTACATTTATGCACAATAAGAAGTTTGTAGGCCTACAAATAATAGTTCACTGCCCGCGCCAGGAAATATTTCACGATGGTTTTCCGTCAGTGGAGTATGTATCATTATCACAATGCAGTTTATGCTCGTTTGAAGGTAAACCTGGCAATTCAAGGGAATCTGAAGTAACCACCATCTCATGGGTTGGTTTCCTACTGTTTAGCCGTTCCACAATATCAGCACGATTTAATTCAACAACACTGATTCCATCTCTTTCCAAGTGTGCTCTTGCTATTTCTATACCATCGTATTTAATCTCCGAATATATAATACGAAGGCGGTGGATTTGAAGAACAACAACCAAGGCATTCTTGCAAGTAAAGAATGCCATTGTGTGGCTCAAGATTCCCATAACTGTAAATTAAGACATGAATATTGGTGATGCAGATTAAAAATATTAGATCTGATGGTAATAATAGCAAGGTATTTAATGATTATGCAATCAAATAATCATTTCACTCCGTTAACTTTGTGCAAAAATAAATAGGTGGAAGTATTTGGAAAAATATTATATTACAATTAGAAAGAATAAGATTGTTTGTATTAATTTCTCGATAGAGTATGGACCACGTTTCCAATGCTGGTCGGATATGGGAATACTCATTTTACTAATTTATTGTTCCAGTTTTACCACGTAACCACCCTGCTAAGGTGAGTGGTCGGTCCGTACCATCGTACGTAATCATATTTCATTTCAATTGTAAACTATAGTATATTGAATATAGTCAATAAATTACTACCACGGGAAAATAAACCGAGGCAAAGTAATATTTAAGTGTTCGTAAGTAAGCAAGCAAAATTTTACCCGACAACAGAAAGAGGCGAAATATAAAAAAAGGCAGATCCTGCATTGCAGTTGATGACAGCACCCCGACAACGTCTTTGTTTGACCAAAAATCGCTAGACCAAAACCCCAATTTCCGAACGCGCCTGCAAAAGAAAAATGAAGACCACCATTGCCATTTTACCCATTCAAGAGTTATATGCCCAAGTTATTCATTAGTTTCCGAATTGAGGATTTAACATTTCGAGAGTTTCATCCACCTTGAAAACTAATATATTTTTAGTCGTTAATGGATAGTCATAGTTGTTATGTATTAATCTAAAGCTCATCTTGCTTAATTAATCCACGGAGTATCGGTATAGAAGAAATATTGTTATTATATATGTAAATTAATACTATTTCCAGAAGCTCAAATGTTGCTGGTTGTGAGAAGTTTACTCTTGGAAGAGCCTAGGAACACCACACAACGAAAATTAAATAATCAGGATGGAAAAAAGACCCCTGAGTCGTCCTATTTTTTCTCTACTAAACAAGCAGCTGATATCGGAAAATGTATACACGTATGGTTTTGTAATTGTCTTACCGTCTTCCACCACGGGGTTCTGCACAGGTCCAAGATCTGCTGCTTTCTCCCCTTCTAATACTGATCCCAGCCATTCTATTTCTTCGGGATCGACTTGAGGTAATAACGAGGCTGTATTGTAGTAAGCTCAACGTCCATAAAGATAACGTTGGGTATATAATAGTCGGTCGTTGAAGTAACTGAAAGAAAAAGTCGTTCAAATTTTTGAAATATCTCTGACATATAGTTGTAGTTAAACATTCACCTCTTCTTCATTAAAAATCGAAAATAGGTCCAAAATATCAGCGGCTATGCCCATGTGCACCAGTAAAATTTGAGATAACTCATCTCTAGAAATTTTTCCTCGTGGCAGTATACCTCGACAGCAGATGAGAATGAATAACAGTGACTGCTCCAAGGCCAAAGCCCACCCAAATTCGTCGAGTAATGTTGGCAATTTAATCTAAAAATAAACCGTTAGTGCGTTAAATTTACATGAGTTTTGGTAACTCGAGAGTAGTTGCAGAGTAGTGGAAATGTTACCCCGAACAGTGTGTTCTGCTTCGAAAGCAAATAATGTGACGATTGATAGACACCGTTAAATTTGTCGTGGCGTTGTTCCATAAGTCGAAGTTCCAATAACCACAGACAGGGCAACGCGGCAACGAGAAAGAAGAACATAGCGGGAGAGAACCTGATGAAAAGAATCACACTGGATTATTCGCAAAAATCCATTCAATGGTTGGATAAGAATGGGTGGAGTTTCTAACGGTTCGTTTATGAACTCACCTTTAGTTGAAGTTGTTCAATCGCTGATGTCCTAGGAATATTGGTCATTAAAAAATATATATATCGATATTTACTATAATGGTATACGAATTGAATTGATTAAGTTCAGAAAAGTCGCAAGAAAATTGTCGCATACCGGAAATGGCTGTACTTTACCTATTGCCCTACAGTTTTACACCCATGGATGGGCAATGTAGAATAACTTACTGTTCTAGAGTACTTTTTTTTTGCCTCGAACTGTTTGAAGTATGTGATCCCTAAATACTGATATGCTAAATAAATTGAGACTCGCATTATACAGTTTAACAGTAAACGGTGGATACGAAAACGCGGCCGCATGATGTACCACACTTCGTGGAAACGTGGTAATTATCGGTGTAAATTATTAAATTTAACCACTATCAATTATAATCAAGTGTTTATTCTGTGCGATCAAGACTGCGTAAATTTGTTGGAAGTCCGGAAAAGTCGCTAGTCGCTACTCTAGTAGTAACACATCGCTAGTAACACATGCGATTGTATTTTACTAAAATTGCCGGTAGTTTACAGATATTTATTTCGTCAGCGTGATGTGTTATTAATTAAGCCGTAAACACCTTTACGTCGGTATATATTCTCCCAAAATCGCAAATTTGCCTCAACATAAGTATATATGCCTTGTGCCACGAGGACGATGATAATTACTTTTTTGTACTTGCACAAAACTGTGAATTCAATGAGAAAACGAGTATTATATAAATAATCATCGGTGGCGAAATACTGAAGACAAGCAAACAAAGAAGTGTACTCGACCTTTTCTCGGATTGCGATGATATATAAGACAAGAGAGCTATGCTCAAATATATGGACACGTAGCGCCACCCAATGGCAATAATTTAGATGACGTCATAGCGAAAAAAGTAATAGCCTTCTGGAGAAAAATTTTATCTTTAACCACTGAAAATTTCAAAGCAATTGGTCCAGTATTTGAAGAGAAAGGCGATTTTTTTAAAAATGACGGAGACAAATAACAATAACAACAAAATTTTGAAACGATTGTTATGTCCACTAAACTGTCCAATAATTAATCCAAAGAATATTCAATCAATATATTGTACTGAAATAAATTTAGCGATGCTTTCACTTTGTCGACGCAACTGCAGTTAAAATTGAATGCAATTAAATTAATAAGGCAAGGCATTTTGAATATACCTATTGCCTGTATCGGTTATGGATTGAATTCGCACAAAAGAAAAATCATCCGTTGAAAAAGTCGACTTCTAAACAAGTAGCGTAAATGTGACGACTGTTTCCGCGGGGATTGCGAGACGATAAATATGTATTTTCGATACACGGTAGTGGCAGTACTGATACATTTTATATGTATTTTTATTGTACTAAATTAAATTGTACTGTCTGGGATTTCATAGCAGATCTTGAGATTCGCAAGATCGCAAAAATACGTATCGAAGCTAAATATCATCCATCCGGCCGTTTGTTTATCTCACATCGTTATGTCGGCAGATCGCGGTTGTAGTTTTAAGCAGTTATGATCTTTTTACCCCGCGTTTTGTTGAACGCAATTAATATGGTCTACTCTACATCATTTTTTGGAAGAAATCTTACTCGAAAGATCATTTAATGTAAAATGAAGCATGGTAATCAGAATATCACCAGTAAGTCGACATCAATAATTATTATTATACGCCAACCAGATAGTAAAGTCAGGAAACGTAAATATGTTCCAATAAAACGAGTCTTCGCCGTGAAGTGTTTATCGCCGTCTTCTTATTCGGGTCATATGGAAGGTTAGATGGAATTAGAAAATTAACATAAAGTATATTTATATATATATATATATTCCTTAACCGACACGAGGCAAACAGCCCTCTCCAAGAATGCGAGATTGTGGCTATAGTCATTGCGTTGACGTAAGTATATTCCAGTGTTACCCAACCCGAGTCCGCTGTCTCAAATGAGTCCGCGAAGCGTGTGAATGAGTCCGCAACGAGTCAGAAATTCACTACAGGCGCCAAACGTTTTTGCGAAAGTTAACTATCAGCCAAGTTACGATTTACGTTGAAATTCACATACAACATAAAAATCAAGTTTATTCACATAAAATTAATCAAGTCAATTATTACTAGTTACTGAGTATGGCGGGGCATATATTCGAATATTCAACTATTAGAATAGCAATCCACTATTCGAAAATTTGGTAACAGGTGACGCGACAGGTCAAAATGATTGGATTTCACGACTCACTTGCGACTTTCCGACGGAAACACGATCACATTCGTGGTGTTTCTCGCGAGTTCGAATAATTTTCTAAATTGAAAAGCGGTAATACAAAATACTAAAAATAAAACGGAGAACACCATAAATTTTGTTTTATGATTGTACGCGACCGATTAAAAACGCTTCTTTAGAAATTGCAAATCGCAAAATTTCGAGTGATACTGTAGTATATGTACCAGGGCATTTTCCCATAGGCCCCACATTGGTACGTACAGTACTGGAGCGCCATAAGTGTTGTTCGAACAGCTGAGATTTGTTGAATTCACAAAAATACGAATCAAAACAGAATATAAACGGGCACTTTATCATCCATTTTTGTGTCTACGGATTGTCATGATATTTTCTGATTAGTATTGCTTTTATTTCGTCAACGCAACCAGTTAATAAAACATCAAGGCGGTGAATATGTATTTCTGATTTATTAATATACTTTAAATATATTTTCAATAAGTACTAAATCAAGTTGTACTTTCCGGAAATTTATACCAGATAGTACGATTTTTATAACGACGATAACAAATTTGCAAGATCTCTAAAAATATGTATCAAAACTAAATAAAGAAGTATAGTGCTATCATCTTGTCGTAAGTCGACGCAACCGCGAGTTACTATGAACACAATTAAAATAGAAAGACATATTAAATTCTGGTCGTTGTCACGGATTAAATATAGGGCGACAGTAAAAGGCCCAAAATAGGCTCTTTTAACGGACGCGTAATTGCGGCGAATTTCCGATTTTGAAATTCGTTCAAATTCCGTTGTGTTTGGTTTTATTGCTTCTTCACACAGAGTACGGTTGCAATAAACGCACCTTGAGTCCGCAAAGGTTTTCGCCGCTGAGAAATTAGTCCGCGTCCAAAAAAGGTTGGGAAACGCTGGTCTATTCAGTCCTAGGTATTTAATTAATATTTTGTTGCCCACAGTTAGATAGATGAAATTGCACTCCGTAAGATCACTACTTGAAAAAGCAGGTCTATCAGAGAAATACGATATATACTAATAAAAGACGAAAAATGCAGACGAAAATTACTTTATTGTAATAAATAGATTTCTTCCTTTATTAATTGCTAATTAACATTTTTAATACATTTACAAAAAAGCAATTGCCATTACAAAACAAATTCTTACCATTTCCATTCCTGTCCCTTGTTTATCCGTATGGTCACGTGCGTTTCGATCATTAACCCCGACAGAAGTCCCAGCAAAAGCCAGTACTGCGGGTTTTGGTAAGCAACTACAACTCGCCAAGTTGCAATGAAGCAGTACAAAAGGAATAAAATTCTTACAAAAATCGCTCGCGCTACAGCTAGCAATCCCATTGCACTTTACAAAATTTCTGTTTGGATATCAGAAGAGAAATCTTTTTGAAATGAACTCATATATCAATATCACTGAAATTTAGCCTACTCTTAGCCCCCGCGAATGACAAAGTTTACTTGAAATGTGTTAGATAAATTTAATTGGACCACCGGACTCATACATTGTTAAAGGTATATTTCTGTAGTTATCTTACCACATACTATTTCAACTACAAATTCAATTATGTGTTCTAGTCGAACAGAAAGTGACACAGTCAACTCATCGAAATCTAGCTCCGTAACAACATTTTATAGAGCTCGTTCATCATTTTAATAATTAATCGAATTGTTCAGTGGAATAATTTTGAACGGGAAACCAGTTCGCGTTTGTCGTAATCTATATGTTCTTTGGGATTTACATTAAAGCTTAGTATCAAGTTCATGTTCCGCAGATTAATGGTTATTGACCATGTACATAATTGTGCATGAAGGAATAATAAATAAACGATGACATTCGATCCATGCATAAAGCTTTTTAAAGTTACCATAATATGATATATATGTTGTTTTTAAAGCGATTGCATCGTTTTTTGTAAAAAAATCTGCAGGCACCTGCAAATGAGCGTAATGTACATAACAGAGTGAAGCCACATCGAACATTAGGATAACTCAAATGTGGTAGACATAGGCTGACGGGCATTCCAGAATATTCCGATAATTTCGCTATCGAAATGAATATTACCATTGAATTGAATTTTGCAATACTCGGTAATTGATGATATATATTGTATTTCCATGGTGTTGTCTTTGGAGTTGTATACCGACAACTGACATGAGCAATATCAAATAACATCACGCTTGCTACGCACTAGGAAAAGATAGGCCTTGCCTTCGACCCAGCTGAATTGTACCAAACATGGCAGCTAAAGGCAATATGTATTTTTCAGACCACAGATGAATGGTTGGTTTGACTGTACGATTACAATGTAAAAGCGACATATTATAATTTATACGTGTAAATCGAAAATGTGCAGAATTGTTTAATCGGAATTATATAGTTTGATCAAATATAGAGAAAATGAACACTGTTATGATCTTTATACACATTGTATAGCAAGTTTCGTCGTTCGCATTTCGCCCATAAAGAAATTGAAAAAGTCAGATAACAACATAATATGCCAATTCAAAGTATAGGATGCAATGTTCTCATTCCTAAGAAGATCAATTGGAGTTAGAATGTAATTTTGTTGATGGCAAAATAAATATTACGGCGACGATTTGAATAATAGGTCACGGATTCGAACTTTTTATTCCTAAAAAGACTAATATCAGCACTTCCCTATAATTTTATTAGCCTCATACAAGTTCAAAGATATTTGTATTTTGTTTAACAATGCCAGTTTATTGCCAATTTCTCTGACTGCGTGTAATATTACGGTTTATTCAGGCATCTGTCCGCGCGTCGTCTTTTTCCGCACTCTGACAAGAATGCAATTTCGATTGTATAACAAAATAACCTACTTTCCACGTATGTATCGAAAATATATACCCTAGTTTTATGATTAATAGACGCTACCTTTGCTGCATTTTCAACTTGCAATTTCAAAATGTTGAAATTATCACCGTTGCGGGATTCCATCACACACTTTGCAACGGCAATGCAAGTACCAATGAAACACTGCATGAATGTTGCTAGTTTTTTATCGGAATTAATGATTTAAACCAGGGTTGTACAAAATGCGGCCTGCAAAAAAAATTGTGCGGCACGCGAAGTGCCAATTTTGAATGGTGTGTCCGCAAAACGAGTTTTTAGTTAAGTTAATCTGGTTCTAGTACGTGCGCGCAATTTCAATCTCTTTGCGTCGCGAAGCATATACTAGTACCTGAGTGCCACTGTCACATTAGCAAAACTATCTAGCAAAATCCTGTTGGAAAATACACAATGTTATAAACGCGTGTTTCTCATCGAATTCGTTTAAAGTCGGTGTGACAATAAATTTGAATAGCAGTTTTCTTTAGAAATTGTTGGTTTTTACTCAAAACTTCTGCAAGGACCCCTTACAATGCTGTACGATCAATAACAATTGATTCGTTCCGAAAGTCCATCGTAAGTAATATTTGTAGAAATTATAATACTACTAATAGTTCAAACCCGTAACAAATACATGTTAGAATTAGATTACTGCATAATAAGTAGAAAAGGTACAATTGGAAAAAAGGGAAGAACAGATAAATACCGCATAAAAATTACGAATTTTCTGTATCTAGAGACTTACGTAGGTAGAGTTTCCTAAGTGAGGCCCACGGCTTTACCCAGTTACTTGTATCTGGCCCTCCTGTAATAAAGGTTGCACTTGCACACCCCTGATTTAAACTTAAAGTATTGTAACATATAGACACTATTTTGTTGGTATGATTAATGTACATTTATCCTAAACACGCATCAGAATTATATCTTTAGAACTCTGTTTATTACCATCATCAAATATACAAGCCGTGGTTTACAATCCCACATGAAATGCCCTGATAAATCACTATTGAAATTGGATGCAAAAATGTGATAATCAAAATTTCCAATAAAACATACCAAATGAAAAACGGCACGATAACTTGAACATTTAAGACAGAGAATTGCATCAAATACAGAATCATAAATTACAAATTATATTCTACTTAATATTGATGATTATATATCGAACTTTCTGGAGTAATATAGCTTTAAACAAAATAATCTGCAACAAAGAGCTTTGTGCCAACAAGAAAGAAAAAACAGGATGGCAAAATGTTCCTGCTAACCATTGCAGCGGGTTTATAATGCTCCAGGACTGTACTAAATTTTTTTATTAGTGATGAAGCACATCTAACATTGACCAGGAAAACCAATATTAGTCATATAAAATATCATGTTACATGCTGTTAAAAAGATTTTTGTAATGCAATCCGTGCAACAAGACTATTGTAGAAGGACAGGGTTTCAGCTTTATGTTAACCACAATGAACATTTTGCTTAGCTGGTTACAACTTGCAACAAAAGTAAACGAAGTCCAAAACAGTGCACTAATAATATTTGCTCATAAAGAGTTAAATAAGTAAACAGCTGTTGCCCAAACTCAACCACTTATTTATAACAATACTACAACAATACACCATTCAATTTGTTATAAAAGCACTAAAAATTTACTATTTTTATTGCATAGTATCTTTAATACAGCAGATTGTCAACACAGCACCAAAATTTCAACCTTCACAACTAAGAAAATAATTTCATCAAACAAATTTAAACTGTGCCCAACAGCAGATATTTATATTAACCGTATCGTAATAGCACATACACATTATGATGAATGATTTAAATAATTTTCTATTTGTGATATTCTCTAGTTTTTACCTAATAATAAGCAGGAAATTTTTGTCATGTCGTTTTGCCTAGTTCAATTTTTCTTTGCAATGCACGACCCCCATGATATATGAAAGAGTCAATCAATCCAGCAACTGTGAACACTCCACCAATAATAGCACAAACTGATGTAAGAAAATGGAAGAATGAACGTCTCTTTTCAGTGTAGCGAACCATCATTGGAGATAACTCATATGAAACGAAAAGACCAGGTAGGCTGGTTTCTGCTCCACTGGAAGACAGTTGTTTTTGATGTTTCGTTACAGAAAACTGGTTGGTTTTCAACTTATCACCAGAAAGCTTGATGTAGGTGGTTGGGACAATTTTAAGATAATATTGAAACACCATTTCCACTGCTTCTGCATAGACATAGTGATTATCAAGTGGAAATATTTGACCTGGGTAATTATCCCCAAATGACAAATGGTTGATTGTGTGAGTGAGATTGTATTTAGCACCGGAGCCAAACGCTGCCATATCATGTACATGCATATGACCCATTTCATAGCTTTTTCCAGGGGAAACATGAAAATTCCCAGCAACTCTATTTACTTCGAGGTATCCATGCAAACGACATCCTTCACCAGATTGTAACTCCAATGTTTCTTTCAATTGTTCATTTTCACATTGTTTGACTATGTTACCTTTTGGAAATGCCCATCCTTTTTTATTGTATGCCGCTCGAACATCGTCACATGTATTGCAGCATTTCAGATCTACGGTTTCAGCTCCATAACAACTACCACACTCATTCACATCTGGTACTGTTTTATTGGATTTAGGTCTGATGTCTTCCAAAACTACAATTTCTGACTCAGTAACTACAGTACCATCTTTTGCCAATCTTTGCTTATATAAAGTTGTGTGAACGTTGATCTGTCGTTGGCCAGACACATCCATGGCATCTAAAGCTACATAAGCACATGGAAGATAATGGAAGGTCACATCCACATTTATCTTTATTTTATCACCACGTGACATATCTACAAACAATTCATCCATAACATCTGTTGTGAGATAATATCTCAATTCAGATAAGAACAGGAATATCATAATAGCAGAAGAAATGATGGTTACAGTTGCTCCTGCAAATGTCTTGATGCGAAAATCTTCCAGAGTTTTGGGGTAAGCATCGAAGTTTCGCAACTTGGAAAAAATACTATTGAGATCATTTGCCATGTTGTCACCATAAATTGGTTAAATTGCGTGTAGAACCCAAACTGAAGTTATCGATTAGACCCTATAAAACACATGAACATGCAATTTGTTCATGAATAGTCTAGATTCAATAATGTAAAAGCAAGATGTTAAATTTGATACAAAGTGGAAATAATGTGATCCTACATAGGCTATTGCATCCCATCTGGACGTTTTCCATGTGTATTGAAATGCGTAATTTGGGCTATTTTTGATGAAAATAAATACCAGTACTATTTAATACGGGTACTCGTAAATAACGGTTAGTTATGTTTACCATACATCCCGATTTCAGCAAGTTGTCAATCCGGCCGACAGCAAGTTGTCGCGACAACTTAAAATGTCCTAGTTATGCACTATGGAAGACATAAATATTTTTTTGTTTGAAACAAAAATTATTTTTAACGGGGGCAGCCGATGTACCACTGTGATTTGCAACTCACTTCACTATTTCAAATAGAGAGAAATTGTTGTCATAGCTATGATATGAAGTATGGGCCATAAGTTAATATAACACCCAACTGTACTGTCGCTGAATCATCAGAATGCCAAAAACAAAGTACAAGTTTTCTGACGGGTTGAAAAAAGATTTCAATCACTAAACTCAAAAGACTCACACCTTCTATTGGAAACGTCGGCATTGCTTAAAAGAACTGCAATGCAAGGAGTCTAATTTATAATTTATTTTGTGCAAAAGTCTGATTGTTAAATGCTGGAACACTAGAAAATATGTCATACGTTGAAAGCGAGTGAAAAAAGAAAGCACAAACAAGGCCTGGCTGTTGTAACGAGATAATCATTTTTCAGAACCAGTTATATTCGGCCAGATTATTTATTTCCGTAATATTAGCTAAACAATTACAGTATGTACGGCAGCCCAGAAACATTAGCACGCTTTGGTGGTGTCAGTTTTTAGTTTTGTTTCCACAATTTGGTTCAAATACAAATTAATCAAGAGTCATCTTGTCTTTCAAGAATGCAAGCTTAGTTACAGTGAAAAAAGCTGTGATAAACTAGATCTAAATTAACTATCATTAATTTTAAGAACAGATAGATAAATATTTTTGAATCAAAATGATAATTTTGAAACAAGTAAATCAGTTTGTAAAATAAGCATGAAAATATTTCTCGAAATAGGAAATATCCCAATTGTTCTCGTAATCTGAGTACTATTACTTAAAGGAAATGTATTTGTTATGACACGTTTCGGAAAGTTTGAAATTGAATTTGCCAGCAATCTCCAAACACCACGTCTGCATCGTCATGTCACGCGCCAGTGGCGATCACTTTGTTTACGTTTATTCCTTGTTTCCAAGTGTGAGCGATGTTTCGAGATTTTTTACCTTGCACCTATGAGTTAGCGGTGGCATTTATTTTAAAGTATCGAAGGTATACTAGCACTACCACTATCAACACACTTTCAGACTTTTAAAATCAATGCAACGTTCAGTCAGACCAAAATCCGCTAAAGGGAAAGCACGCCCTACACCCCCGTCCCGTCCAAGACAACATCAGACTCAGGAGCCGACATCGTCTTCCACGAGGTAAGATTACTGAATTGCCTGTGTTAAATAGGTATGAGAGTTATCAGGGATAGTTCGAAAGTACTACGGTACTAGACAGTTTAATTAAGTGAGCAAAACATGCAAAATCAGCCATTAGTCGATTTTGTTGTCATACCCGTCTATTCTATTTTTGATATTCAAAGTTTTTGATATGAATAAGTAAAACCAAGCTTTAAGTATGACACATGTATTTTGATTTCCCTTCCTACTTTTTAATAAACGACCATGGCATGTATATGATGGCAACAATCTCAGCTCCTGTCAGGGAAGTTTGTAAATGTAGATCTGAAATTATTTCTAATTGAATTTGTACAGCGAACAAAACCACTCCTATGGTCGCAGAGGCTATTCACTGAGACGAAGTGGGCCCCCCAACAGCAGTTACAGGAATGCATCCTCAAGACCAAGCAAGTCATCACAAAAACCTGAAGAAGATACAAACTCTGAAGGTTGATTATAATAAATTCATTCACAGGAAATGTAATAGGAATAAAATTTTCATTTTTATCACGAAGTAGAGGTAAAGCGACTTTCATGCTACAACAAACCATAGCCTCTCGATGAGCCGATTCATAACTGGACAATGGGTTTATTTGAAAACTCTTTTCCACATTTTTTGCATCCACACTCAAAACTTTAGTAAAACTTGGCATCGTAATTTCATAAATACTGGATAGCTGGCAATTTTGAATCTGAATTGACACTTTATTAAAAAATAACTACATCCTTATTTAAACAGGTCCAGACCCATCTCAGTTTCCTGAAGTCTCAAGGCCTGTATCATCGCTATCAAAATACAGTATTCTCCCAATGATTCCAAAGACGCCAGACCATAGTGATTTCAGAGTTACAAGCCCAACAGAGAGTGTTGTAGAATTGGATTTATTGTCTTCCTTTGCCCAGCAGATGATTCTTGACAGCGCTACTGCGAACTTGAATAAAAGTGATTCGAGTGTGTCAGATTTCAAACAAGAAACAAATAGCAGTCACTCTGCATCCAAAATGAAACGCACAGCAGCTAGCAATGGCACAGGAAAACAGAACAATATTAACAACCAAGACAGCCCCCAACACAAGAAGTTTAGAAGTTCCTTGATGACAACAAAATCTGTTTTCCCTCCACGCACTGCAAAAGCTAAAAATACTGGTCAAGGAGACCGGAAAAATGGGGCAGAGACGGAACCCCCAGCAGGAGAGGAAAGATTGAGATTAGCACTCAAGTTACCAGATGGTAAAAGAGTAGAGAGATACTTCGCCCCAACAAGCACTATAAATGATGTGATGAACTTTGCAAAAACTAAAATGAAAGCTCCTATTAGAAGATGCATTGTATACTCTATGTTGCAAGTGCCAAAAGAGAAGCTTAAAAACTGGAAAAGAACGTTAAAGGATCTCGGCCTCACTGACCGAACAATGCTATACATTGACGAAGAGTAAATTAAAATCCCACTGTGAATATCTATTACACTACTATATCCAGTTATTGTTCATATATTTTTCGATAAACAAAAACACAAGAGATTCAAGGGATCAAAAATATGTTGTGAGTTTAGATAGAATCAGTCTCTTCTTCCAACAGTTTCTATGCCATGTTCTTCAATGTATTCCTCTAATTTTTCTCTTGTCTTAGCATTGTCAATTATACCAGTGCTAATTTGCCAGCGACGAAATTGGGCATTTCTCTCCATTTCTTCTACAGCGTCACATAATTTACTGAAATGTTGAGGGACAAAGCTCATCAACTGGTATACAACAGATATATTGCCTCATCTAGCTGGGAAATTATTCGAAGTTCCAAGCCGGTATTTGCAAGGTGCTTCATATATTGCTGGTATAATTTTTCAAAGAAATTCTGCTTTAAATCTCGCAAAAGGTGTAATGCACCACCATTATAATTGAGTAAAATTTAGCATTTCAAAAGTCTCTCATAAAGTCTTTATTTTTGAGTGCGAGCGTATTCCAGGATATATTTTGAAACTAATAACATAATTAAGAATTTCATGGCAGCTTCATTCCAGTACCAATAAAATCGTCGATTGGCCAAAATTCTTAGGCATTTCACTAACGCCAATGTAACTAGTTAAGCATTTGACTGTCCGAATATCTACCAGATATACTACAACGAGCGATTGCAGGTTACTGGTTAGTTTTATGGGATCCAAATTAAAAATAATTACCCCAGACGTGTCCATGATGTTTCCAATTCGATAGCATAAATATCCTTGTAGTAAGACAATTTTGGATCTTCCATGCAGTATCTTGCTAGGAACCTGGTTATTGGATGCTGTTAAATAAATTATGAAAAATTGATTGAATTTTTAGCACCAACGGTTCTGTTGAGTTGACAATAGATGCGAAGGGCGATCAAATTTTAGTATAGCCACATATTATTATATTCATGGAAAATTAAAAATGACTCCTGGCCCAGACTCCAGTTGCCAACTCTGTAAAAACCAACTTTCGACATCTGAGCTTTGGTGCCTTCTTTCATTGTCTGTTGAGATTACTTATTCAGTCTAATTAATGTTGTTTTAGTTGACAAAAATCATGACTTCGACTACAGGAAACCAAGTTGAGAGAAATTTGACACATATTGACATCAATTTTGATAATATGACTCTTGCTTCAACATCAATAAAAATGCCAAACTCTGACCCCATGAACTTTACCCTAAGGCAGGGGTCGGGAACCTTTTTGGTCAAGAGAGCCATAAAATATACATATTCTCAATTGCATTTCCGTGCGAGCCATATAACATTTCTTCAATTAATCAGACCTGAAATGTTTACTCGAAAGTCAACACATACAATGTCAATACACATTTAATGTGATTTCTGATGCTGTATGTAGTCGCTGCGGGCCTTGAACGGTTGCTCACTTGCAGCCCAAGTTGAAATCTACGATACTCATCACCCTTTTTCGTTTAGGTTACTCCGTAGTGTTTTTAAAACTATATCGCTTTGTGATGTCACAATATATGTTCCAGAATCCCCTTGTTTGTCACAATGCCTGTCTAGTAAATATCTTACATAACATAGACATGTGCTGGGCGCGCGTTCTCAAACGTATTGGGAATTTCCTGCCAAATTTGGCTATAAAAGAGTTTGAAATCTCGAAACAATAGTAAGCCTAGTCTTAGAATATTAGATTTTTCTGGGAGCCATATGCCGTCACCAAAAGAGCCATATATGGCTCGCGAGCCATGGGTTCCCGACCCCTGCCCTAAGGTCAAGTTATCTTCAGTCACCCTCACATCTTCTCTCTTGAAAGAAGTTTCAGTTTCTGCCAGTTATGATAAAGCTTACTCAATGTACTTACTGCGAAAAATTCATAGAACGCTGGTTCGTATTGATCCATGTCATAGTCATAAAGTTCTGCTTCGCCAACCACATATGAAGTGTAAAACATTAGAAGAAGTGATGGAACTAAGCCAAGTGCTGTGTAGAATTTCTGAAATAGTTGAATTTCAAGTTTAAAATTATACCAGCCTATGGCCTGAAATTTGAACTGCTATTATCATTACAACGATGCCACTCTTAAAAACACTTGGAAAAATCGAACCAAAATTATTTGTTTGAAAACTAGCGTTCCATATTTATTGTTCAATAAAATTTTACGTCAATTGTGAAACATACCGTTATAATATATACAAAAAGAGTAGTTAGAATCCAAAAAGATAATATTTAGAATTTGTTCCACACCAAATATATCAAGAAATTGGTATTCATGATGGTACTAACCATGTGCTTTATAAAGTCCCTTGAATTCTGTTTGGAAACGAAAGTATAGAGAATTTTTTTATGGCCTCCATATCGCACAGGTTCTGAAAAATAATATAAATATGAGAACATAATATCGGTTTGAGGCATAATTTTATTTAATAGGCCTCATGCAAATCGCTAGATTTGCAAAATGATCTCAATTACAGTTGAATGGATGAATCCTTTTTGTTTCCAGTCCAATTTAATTTTGCATATTCCTTGAGTGCTATGACTACTTTGTCAAGTTTGGCTGGCTTTGAGCCTACACCAGACTTTTCGTGCATATACCAGCCAAAAAAAAAAAGATAATTTTCCGAAACTCTTAGTAGTGTGAAATCCACAACCTTGTAGCTGTTTGGTATGAACTGCTTTAAGTCATGCGGCTGTATTTAATAACTAGCAATTCTACACTATATTTCTTTAGTATCATGGCTCTTTGTGTTTTGGTGGTCACCCGTAACTTTATTTAGAGATGAGTATCAACTCTAAATAACGTACACTAGGATTCATTATACTCTCAGTAGAGTTCCCGAAGAATGTGCACCAAAGATGGCGAACAACCTGAACACAGTGTGTGTACCAGGTTATGGTTCAGGTTGTACACCAATACTTCAGAAGCGTGTCTCAGTAGCTCTTGGCGCTTCAGTGGTACATTTATTTCGCTCAGAGATCAATCTCCGACATTTCTGAGTGAGTATGTTACCTTGCCTTGAGCAAATTTGCGTAAAAGAAAGTGAAGTTCACGTGAACTAGCAAAGAAATCAGATCTCCATGTTTAATAATGATATACTCAAATCAAAACTATAGGGTCATCGAAATATTAGGTTTACCAAAATTATAGAATAATGTCAATACGGTCAGATATAATGGAATTATTGAACTCTTCCTCATTTCAGAGTGACTCATCATATGACATTGTCCATCAAATATTTTCAAATTAAAAACCAATACCATGCATGGAATATACTTACGCCTTATGATGGGTTTGCCTCGCACAATGAGAGGAAGACTTTTAGCTCTAGACAAGGATGAAGATAACTTTGACAGAAGCATGTTGTTGTATCCAGTGAATCAACTATAGCTCAATGTCTCACGACCTAGATAACTAGGCCTAATTGAAGTTAAAACATCAGATACACTAAAACTTATTTCCTAGACTGTAAACAATGCACAAAGACAATTCAGTTATATAATTTACCTGAAGTAGTAGCTGTTATATCTAGTATTGCATGACCATGGGACCAGGTTCATAAACCTGAAAAGGCTGAAAGATTAAATTTCCAACAAAATATTCTTCTATAGAAGAAGAGTTTGACACAAAAAATAACTAGTAAAAATGACAAACATAAGCATGTGTAGGACAAATTGAAACAACAATTATCTGTAAAATATTTGATATTGAACTGGAATAGGAATAAAATTGCAGCAATAGGAAGTTTATAATAACGACGTCAACTCTCATGGTCCAAAAACCAAACACCATTTAGTAGTTCTTTTCAATGATAATTGCTCCTGCTTTCCCACTAATAACACCGACACACAATTCCCAATCACAAAACATTTCTCTATTTAGTTCTTTCAATTTCATCAGTTAACAGCACAAACTATGCATTCTTCATTTTTCAAGAACCTAAAAAAATATCAATTATTTTTTTAGACCAGTGAGTCAAACAGGGTAGCGCAATAGAAATAGGTATGGCACTCATTTTGTTCATTTGTTACTTTTTATACATAACAGCATCGTCAGCATGAGTACAAGTTGAAACATCCTAAATTAGATCAAGTTCAATAAAAAAACGATGTAATTCGTATTTGGAAACACAGAAGACTTGTGCGAGTGATTTGATTGCTTTTCTGGTTTGCATAAAGGCTTTTTTAGTCCCGCTGTTAGACTAATACAACTTGTGAGGAATTCGTTTCCCCCAAAATAAAATTTGTTGTTTTGGGGGGGAATTAATTAGTAAGATTTGATAGTATTACTTAGCATTTGATGTATTTTCATTAATAGCATTCAGTCACTCTATTTAGTAATGATGAAATACATATTTATGGGCACATTTTAAATATTCTAACTGTGTGAAAACTGTATGTGCTTTGCCGTAACACTAGCTAAGTAACCATTAAAGAATGAACAAACAACAGAAAGAGTTTTTATGCATAGTGAGGAAAAATAAAGATTATCAAGAAGGCTTCAGCCTTCAATAACCAAGTTTTTCTCCTAACTGAAATAAGAGTTCGTTCGTATTTAATTTAGTTTACATACATTTACTCGCTACAATGAATTGTACAATAATTTCACCTTTCTTGCAAATTCTGGAAGAACAAATGAAGATCTATGAATTGCAGAATTATAGTATCTTAAATTCATTTTTTCAACTTCGTCTTCTGATAAAACACGCTCCGGTTCCTTAAAATCTGTATTCTGAAATCAAAATACTAGTTTAACATACAAACAACTTGGTAAAAGTAACAGCACTGCTCAACTAGACAAACTCTAATAAGGGCAGGCTACAAGATACATGAATTTTCATACATATCAACATGATTTTATCACATGTTAACTATGACAAATCTAATTGTGAAGGTCTAAGGATGGAGTTGTCTATTGCTGAATGAAAAGGTAGCAATGCTCAAATATATAAACACAAAGCCAAAGAACTAATATAGCCACCATATATGAAATTTCACTGAATTTTGAAAGACTTGTACCAGGGTTGTACGAAGGCGTGCACAGAATTTAAAAAATGGAAGCAATAGCCTTCAGGTGACTTCTTCATTCATCAAGTATCAAGATTTTAAAATGTATTGGTTTCATGGTTGCAGACCGTAGTGATTTTACTCCAACAAAAGCAACGACACAATTTTGCAAAATGACACATTGATACACTTTGTGTCCATTATTTCTTGTACCAGTAACCACATTTATAATCCATTTTTTTTGAGTATAAATACCTCATTCAAACTGCATAGAATGAAGCCAATCTGTCCACTTGGATATGTTGGTATAGTTGTATATGAATATCCAACTCTAGGAAATACTGATTCACAAAAATCCTTCATGTTTTTAATCAGTTTAAGATGAAGCCATAAACATTCACCCTGAGAGCAAATAATACCATTTGGCTTTAAAGCTTTCTTCATCAACTCATAATAGGGTTTTTCGAATAAGGCTTCAGCTGGACCTGAAATAGTAAATATTAATAATAAAGTCTCTTTCTAATGTTATCACCATCATATGGTTTATTGAAGAGACTTTGAATTCAAGATTGTAGATGAATTTTGTTGTAGAAAAGATTTATTAAACATAGGTTCCATTTATATTCTAGTTCAGGCGTGTGCAACCTGTGGCCCCCGGGCCAAATGCGGCCCACAAGGTAAAGTTGTGCGGCCATAATCACCATTCAAAGTCTGAAATTAATAAAACTGACGAATTCCGAATTTGACACCAGTGAAAACAGGACAAATCTCAAATGACTCCACAGATCTGATTTGACTCAGTTCAACCAATCAAATCGTTTTTATTAGCCATTCCGATAAAGCATAATAACATGAATGCAAGAAAGATCACAAAATATTTTTATCGAAGGGACAGGATAACCGCGAAATGACCATTCGGTCTACTTGTCAGCGGCAACCTTAAAATAGATTGGAATTTATGGCTACAAAATTTGCACAGCACGAAATGTTTTTGTACGAGAACAGCATCGCCCCAAGATGACCAGTTAAGACATCTACACTTATATTCTAAATCATCTCATGTTTTTAGATTGATTTCATATCATAAACTAAAACAATATATAATTTTTAGTTGTGGCAACATATTTATTTAAAATTTTCAATTAGAAATTCCCTTTTTTCCAAGTAATTAAATTCAAAATCATGTTTACCTTCTGGATCAGAGGAGTCAGTAATAATGACGTCAAAACTATTTGGATGTTCCTTCATAAACTTAAATCCATCACCAACATGCTGTGTGAGCTTAGGATTATCATACTGACAAGCCATTTTAGGAAGATATTTCTTGCACATATCAATAACAAGCTGAAACAAGAAACCAAATTGTAACTCAATTACTCAGTCTCCTCAGTGTATAAAATATGAAATAGAACCTTAATTTCTTTGACCCAAAATAGTTACCTTATTAGACTTACGGAGTGGATCTATGGATCGTTTATTATTATGTTGTTGTTGTAATAAACTCTATTTTCCCTCAACTATTGGACCAATTTATTTGAAATTTTCAGTGGATAAAGTTTGTTGTTGTTGCTAGATTTTTTATTTCCAAAATATCTGTGGACTTTGTGGCATTTTGTTTTTCACTTCAAAGTTTGAACGATGAGTGATGACATCATCAAAATTAAAAATTGCGTACCAAGGCTCCATGACCATATCTCAGTGATCTGGTGGTCAGACTACCGGTATTGTAAAACATTCAATATTGCTTTATTTTGGCCCCTTTGTCCAAATATTTGAGCATCACTCTCTTGTTTTGATACAAAATTTAATAGCTTGTGAATCCACAAATGATCTGACTCTGATCTTGCTCTTAATTAACAAGATTCTTACAAAAATAGGAGACAGGTGGAAATATGTAACATAATATTTTCACATTGCAAGATGGATTATTGAACATTGTGGTTATGTGATCAATACTGCTTGTATATAAAAAAAGCTTTTGCCCTGAAAAAAAATCCCTCAGTCTTAATAAGATATGCATATATTCTCAAAAAAAAAAAAAAACAGACCCCATCAATTTCACACTGTGTTACAGTTTTTACGCAGTCATGCTTCAAAATCTCTCTAACAACACCTCCATCTCCTCCTCCAATAACAAGAACCTGCAAACAATATAAACCATGAAGAAGTGAGTGCATTACATAGACTGACAGTGCTGAGACCAGCGCACACTAAATTGAAATTGTGGCCCCAGATCTGACTATAAGACTTCATTGCTTACTTCAGAGCTGGGCTCCAAGCCATTAAGGTTTTCTCAAAACTATGATATAGCCTAAGCGTTTCAAATTTTAAAACTGAACTTTTAAATAACAAATTCAACCTGGAAACTTTTAATTAATATTATAAATTAAATTTGAAAAAGCATAATCCGAAAAGAATAGATTCATGGTTTGAATAAGTATAAGAATACTAAAATAAAAATTTATAATTGAATGGAGGCATTACAACTTCTTGTAGTTTTAGGTCTATTCATTATGAAAAGCTTGGCTCTAACAAATGTTACCGCTTCGGCTCACCGGTCCTGGGGTGACTAAAATTCTGATAATGCATACTTGACAAAGATGTATTATAGCAAAGTCAGATACCTTTCAACTTATGTTTTATATTTTTACCATAAAATATCTGAAGTAAAAATCAAGTAAAATACGTACATTTTCCGGATTAGGATGGCTGCACAATGGCACATGTGTAATCATTTCTTGGTAAGAAAATTCATCTCTTTCTGTACATTGGATAACACCATCGAGAACAAGAACATTTCCATGATCTGTGCTGAAACCAGATTTTTACTTTTAAAAAATGCATAGCATATGCAGTAATTTAATACCACAAGGTATCAGAATTTTAGCTCATTTTTGCGTAAATGCGTAAAAAATAAGCCAAATATGTTTTCAACTTTAAACTTTAAAATATATACTATATAACGGTAATACTATTTCTTGCCTTATATATTTAATGCAGTGAGTGGCATATGCCTTAGCAAACACAAAAACTATTCTACATTAAAAATGAAGTTACCTCTTAAAAATAAGAACATCTTGAAATTCAGATTTTTCGTGAAATAAAATTTTTTCCACTTTTAATGACATGCATTGGCCTGGCCAAAACTTATTCACTTCACGAAACCATCCATCCTGAATAAGTGCCATATTGAACTATTCGAAGTATTTTTCACTTGTAGGTAATATTTAAGCATTAAACTATAGCTGAATTAAATTGAAAAACATTTTTGTTCATGATAACTCTCCTGAACACTCCTATTTTTTATAATTCGATTGAAAATTTTTTTACCATCAGTTGTAAAGCAAGAAAACAAAACAGAGTCCAGTCAAAGTCTTGTATTTTGAAACAAAATTCATAGTGCTGTATTCACAGCAAAATGAATAGCTATGCTCATGTATCAGTGTACACTATAAAAATTATTAGCAGTCTCCTCAATTGAATCCGAACTCACTATTACATTAATAGAATTAGGATATGATTTCAATATTTTACTCAGCAAGAGGAAAGTCTATGATACATCTTAATATAACCACTCTCTCATTTAGGTTCCGATCTATGTTGGGATTTGGGAATGAAAATAGTCAACCAATTATTCATTCCCGATGCATGAACTTGACACATCGATAAAAATAAACACAGTATAACTGCAACAGCATCTTATCTTTCCCCGCACTCATCATAAATTTTCCAGTCTGTGGCATCCAGACACACATTTTCATATGCATTATCATTGAATCTCTACGAATCTTCCTTTTCTAATGATCCACATTTCAAGCAATAATAAAATATGGTCATTCCTTCATCTGCTGATCGAGTTTGTTGAGTTTTGTATGTCATTTCATTATGCCCGCAATGTCCACATAGTCTTTCTAACTTAGGACCAGAAGATTTGTCATCCCTTGCCTTTTTCTTTGTAGATTTGCCTCTAATTTCATTTAGTATTATATCAGCTTTAGCTACAATCATATTATTAAACTCTGAACATGGAATTCTTGACTTACAGATGCAAGTAATGTATGATTGCATAGAATCAACAGGCAGTGGTAAAATGGCTCCACATTTTGAACAAAAACCATCTTCTGTTGTCATACATTTATTCATATTTTTCTAATTACAGAACAGAGCTAAATACCTGTATAAAAACATTGTTGAAATTTCGCATTCAGTAAGGATGCGAGACTGAGAGGCAGTAGGGAGGATGGTTATGAGTTAGCCACCATGGCGAGTTGCCCTCCACTCGTAAGGATTATTCATGCTATTGCTAACATTTATGCCAGGGTTGGGAAATTGTAAACTGCATACAACCAATACCTGAATACTGCAATAGCAAATTTTGTTGTGCCCTCATAAGACCCGAGCATATATTTGAAAAATAAAATACGGGGAACTTACCATAACATTCGATAAAACTGAAATAATAAAGTTATTAGGTTAACATGACCCAATCTGACTAGGCCTATGACAGCATGACGATACCAATACGGTAGTAGTTTTCGATATTCAATCGTTCAGTTTCTAACTAGATCTGTAGATAGGCTACAGTTAGGATAGGATAGGATTTACATATTTATCCCGGGGGAGAGGAAAGCCGATAAGACGGCTTATCCATATGGCGAACCACGGCCTCTCGTCCGGTTACCATTCCAAGTCGGGTATGGGATTAGTTTTTACTGTATTGTTTGTTTTCGGAAGCATGGACTTGGTGGTGGAGGAAGCCGTAGCCGACCAGCGGTTACGTGAACCACCCAACGACGACGAGGAGTCCAGCAATCCTCTCGCACATAACCATCCCTGCATGGGATTCGAACCTGCGAACCCACGCAGAGTAATTAGAGGTGCGGTGGCGAGCGTATTCCTAACGCTTAGCCCGTTGAGCCACACCGCCGCGCCACAGTTAACGTAATACTATGACGAATTTAAAATGCAAATTAATTAGAACACTGTTCTGGCCTGGTATCAATACGTTCAATAATAAAACAGTCTAACCTACATGTAGAGCTCCAAAGGACGTGAGGTAAAAGACACAAAAAAGCAAACCTAATTCCGGAAAGACGAAATGATCTGGCTCGGCGGTGTGGCGCATGGTTCTAAGCGTTAGGAATAGGAATACGCTCGCCACCGGATCTGTTCTGCCAGACTGCCGTCTGGGTCGGACGTGTTTTTGTTGCTCTGTTAGATGAAAGATCAATCAATGCTGTTGGACTGAGAATGCTACGCGCTGTGTGTTTCGGTATTTACTATTAGATTTGTATCTCGTGATATCAACATGATCAAGGCCCATCTACTGGAATTAAAGAAGTTTATGGATAAAAGATTGGATTTAAAGTTTGTGTTTGGCAGTCGTCGGGTGCGGTCGCATTTTTGAACGGCGCAGAAAGATTAGATTGACAACAATGAACAAGCACTTAAGGAATATCAACAAGTAAAGGCCGAAATATGAAATTACATGGCAGCATGAAGGTAACATACGGACATCATAACAGAATCGAAAGATGAATACAACAGGGATTGATTCAGATATTTTATTTTGTGACAAAGAGTATGATATACTGCTATTTCTAGAAATTCCGCTTGAATACTGAGTATTCAACTATATGTGTAAATAGTTTGCAGTGTAACTTACAGTGTAACATTTTTAAACATTCATTTAGTGGCATATTTTTGATTTGTTCTCTCTGTGTGTATACCGGTACTGTTTTAACAATGTTAGCCACGTCAATGTATCAATTAGGCTACAGACCTGCTCACGTGTGATTAGTGTTTTTCCTAATAATTGCTTTTATGAGTGTCCGCACACCGAATTTGCCGCCATGGTTTTGCGTTTGTTTGTATATTAAACCACTTATCACCTTTTCCGCAATGCCCAATCTAGCAATCAGTGTAGTTTTTCATGGCTTGGTTTTTCTTAAAGCTTTCATGGCTTCATGAGTAGGACTATCGTCGCAAATTTATTACATTCCACTACCCACATTATCTTTGCATGAGGTTGTAGGTATTGGTCATTATCAACGTAATTGTTGAAAGAGAGTATAACAGCCCGAAAGTTTATTACTATCGTGTATTTTGTTTTTTTAAGTTTGGCCCAAGCCTCATTTAATTGGGCTTGTGTTTTTGTGTGCGTGCTGGTGGGCAGGCACATGAGATACTTCATGTTTTAAACTTTTTTGTAGGTTTTGCTTGCCCTCCAGAATTCTCCATTTTAAATTTAGGTTTGTTATGGAGTTTTCGAAATAAACTATCTATCTATCTATCTGTGATTACCTTTCGTGGGATCGCAGGCTTGGTTACAGCTCCCTCCACCATCAAGCCCATGCTTCCGAAAACAAATAACTGGCTAATTAATCCCATACCCGACCTGGACTGATAACCAGACGAGAGGCGGTGGTTCGCCATATGATTAAGTCGTTTTATCGGCTTTCCTCTCCCTCGGGATAAAGATGTAAATCATATCCTATCCTTTAAAGTGGCAAGGGCAACATGAAACATTTCAGAGACTCGAGTAACCCTCATGAATATATAGAAAAAAAGCAAACCTAATTCTGGAAAGACGAAATAATCTTTAAAGGGTAGCAAGTGGCAAACTCAATAAGTGTTTAATTATATTTTTATAATAAATTTATTATAATAGAGACTATCAGATTTTAAGTGAATACTTACGAAACCAATGGCCTGGGCTACACTGGCGGAATTCGAGAGTGGAACAGCACCCCGGCGGCAAAATACTACTCTGTAGCAGGCGCGGCGAAAAGCCAGCCACTGGTTTATAGATCATAAAACAGTCCTCAAAACAGAAGGTTGGAGTTTGCTGCCAGTCCATACCACGCCAGCCGCTGAATCATTCTTTATGAAACAGAAGATTGTGGTTCCAAGAAAAAGAATAGTGGACAATGAACAAAAAAACATCGGATATTGCTTTGTACCCTTTATCATCCTCTTCTCTGGCGTGTCGAAAAAAAGGTTAAGAACCACTGCTCTTTTGTCTTCTCTTCTAGTGATGGAGACACAAGGGGGGTCTTACTACTTACGGAATACAGCGCGAAACACCGCAAAGAGCGCAAAACAGCGCAAAAGCGCGCGAAACAGCGCAAAACAGAGGAAAACAGCGCGAAACAGAAGGAAACCAGCGCAAAACAGAGGGAAACAGCGCAAAACAGGAGACGCAGTCATTACCACCTCCTCCCACGAAAGAACCACGGCGCCTCTCGCCATGGTTTTATGGCGCTATTTCCGGTATATTTACAAGGTTATGTACCGGATTATAGGTTATGCAAAATTTTATCATCCTTTTTGGTGCTCCAGAAGTATGTGCAGCAATATGTCGCACAACCTTAATCCGCTACACACACACACACACATGCTATTTTCAGGTTGTGCGCCATCTTGGTGCACATACTTCCGGAGGTCCCTTTTTACCTAACCCTAACCCTAAAGCCAACCATATCCATATGGAAAATGTTTTAAATTATGGTACCCAAAATGTGTCACCAGCAGGGGCAGACCTGCCATTACAGCATTACTGGCTACATACGTTGGTTTGTGTTTTTAATTTGCTGCCGTGGTACTCCGACTCAAAACAAGGTGCCCCGAACTCATCGCAAAATTTTTTTCTGCTTCACACTGTTTCGCGCTGTTTCCCCACTGTTTTGCGCTGTTTCCCTCTGTTTTGCGCTGTTTCCCTCTGTTTCGCGCTGTATTCAGTAAGTAGTAAGACCGCCACCCAGTTATTTATCAAAAACCTGAATCAAACTTTGAATCAATAATCTATTTACACTTCTCTTCCTCGCCCGACAGAAATATTCAAAATTCGGCATGACAACTTATTGGTGTTCATTTTAACAAAGTGATATCGTGCTGTTATTATTACTTCAGCCTAATTTGTTTTGACGTTTCGAATACCTTGATACTGTTTTGTATACCAGTCAGTTTCAACGTTTTTCGATTCGCACATTTTTAACAGCATACATTGGTTGTGATTGTGATATTTGGGCTTGCTTTGAGCACTGATCACAAATATTATATTCTGGCAGAAGTTCTCCCTCGACGGTTCTCAAATACTTAAGTTTTTTTGACTTTTTGTTCTTTATTTTCAAATATCTGTGGAATATGACAAGTGTAATTAATATAACATACCGCATACGTTCTCTATGTTATCAAAATTTAAAATAAGAAAGGTTCGGTATTCATTACCAATTCGCGGCCAAATCACGATCATTTGCGCGATACTTTGACGGGAAACAGTTCCCTTGCTGCTCCAGCCAGCCCCGATGATTTTTCCTTTTTCTTTCACATTCCATCTTACTTTTCATTCTATAGTCCTCGCTGGCTTTATTCTCCATTTTTATTTCCAACTGCTTGTGGACTGATCGGTCTAAACCAGTGGTTCCCAACCGCCGGTGCCGGTTCGCGGCAACCTTGCTGCCGGTCCGCCAAATTTATTCCAGTATAAATATATTATAAGCAAATTGCAAAATACAGTATTGAAGTATTGACGGCATGTTCATTGATTTTATGATTTTTTCTTATCGATTCGTAGGCTGGGTGTTCGTTAGGTCTATGACCTCATAACGGTGGCTAACGTCATAACGGAGGAGCAACCCTAGTAGGGTTTGGATTTCGGATCAAGTTTTTGAAATCCCGGTACTGAGACGTATAATCTCGGGATTAAGTAAGAGTAACAGCTTGCATGCCAATTAAATCACGTATTTATTTCATGTAATATCGACACATAAATATTATAGCAGCTAGGGCAGTGGTTCCCATCTTTTATATGCGGAACACTATTTAGCTATTTAAATATTTGCGGCACACCTATCACAAAACACGAACAGTTTCTACTCATAAAGAGTGCGATAGTCGAATGCGAACAAATGGTTGATAGTACCCAATTTTCTTACATTAATGCAGGGGTTCCCAAACTGCGGCCCGCGGGCCAAATCCGGCCCGCGTAACGATTTAAAATGGCCCGCCGAGCTTAAGTGGAATTGTGAAACAGATTTTGTTTCTACCTTTTTGTAATCTAGAAACCTCCAATTGTTATGTTATTATCACGGTTTAAGCTCATGTTTATCATAGCATTTCGCTTATATGAATATCTCAATTATACGTACCGGTGTTAGGATCACATAGGCAGTAATTTAGTTTTCAGCCATGTAAGAAAGTTTCGAAGACTCGTATTTCTGTATTGAAAAGAATCAAACTTCAGCGATTTGTCTTCTTTGCCAACGAACTATTCCAGTTATGAAGCAATACGACGCTCTTCGGAGCACCTCCCATTTTTGTAAACGTTGCGCGGTCGCACGGGTAATACGTGGCCCTGAAACGCGCCGCCGATCACGCGCTTAGGTTTTGCTCGCCGTTCGACGTTACGCCCTTAATATTATCACATGTACATGAGGGTGACCGTACAATTGAACCCATGTGTATATCCACGAGTTCAATCTATATGCGGGTGCTAAAACCCATGGGTTAGGGTTAGTATGGGTTCAACTATCCGTAAAACAAAACAAAAATTCATAGGTACAATAGCATACAGGTGCAATTGTCATGGGTTCAAATGTACGTGGGTTCAAATGTAATGGAACCCTACATGGGTATTGTCACTTAATTCATTTTTGTTACAATTCAATATGTTTCCCCCATTTCCAAAGTCATTCAATAGTGTTATTGTCGGCATTTGCGAGAGAAATAGAAAAAAGGCAAACAAACTGTATTTCATTACAACAATTAATTATTTTCGCTAAAAATACCAAATAGGTTTAACGTTGTTATAAACAATTTTGACCGCTGGACGTATGAATTTGTTCGTTATGAATTTCGTGCAAGGCCCAAGCATAATTTGATGTAAAAGATCATAGCATTTACTATTTCGAAACGCTTATTCGACTTTTCAGACTGCAGAAACTATCCGAAAAAGATGACCGTTTTTGTGTTCGAGATATGAAATAATCGTCAATTCCACCACGCTTTCGTGAAGTAGTGCAATTTACTAAATTTATGAAGGTTTATTTCAGTTTCATCGGTTTATTTCAGTTTCATTGCATCGGTGTTTGGACTGCCACGCGTGCCAGATCGCGTGGGCAAAATAGTATACTTTCACCGAATCGAATAATTTAAACGAATTTTCGAATATCGGGTTGAATTCGGTATTTTATTCCGATTTTTATTTTTTGGGTCGGCTTTGATCTTTTTGTTACAGTTTTAAAATTAACTGTCTTAATTTGAAGCTAAAAATATTATCATTTCTGACGCCGGAATGCGGATATTTTTGAAGACGATAGTTGACATTCTTGATTTTACTTTTCTATTGTGGCTGTAAAAACCCTGCAAAGTCATTGCGTGAATCCTAAATGCTATTTTGAGGTCAAATTATGAATAATTTGTCGGCAATAATGGCAATTCTACTAATCAAATAATAACTCCTTGGTAAAATTTCGCACAATAATTCCACTTAGTCTGACTGACTCAAACTGTAAGCGTGGATGGCTTTTTTTCAAAATAAGTAATAAATAAAATGGTATAACCTATAATTTGTGAGAATATCTATACGAGGTAAGGCTAGAAAGAAACGGGGCTAACGTCACAGATTGCGCAACACGATTAACCATCGGTAATCAACACTTTTGCAGTGTGGCGTAATATGCGTTCTTTGTTTAACAGCTGTTTTGACACAATATCGCAATTATTTTTGCCTGATGTTTATGGAGATTCTTCCATGTCCAGAACAAGAGTTTTTGAATGGCACAAGCGATTTGTGAAAGGCAGGGAGAATGATACGAGGTCAGGGAGGCCTTGCACTTCCACTACTGATACCAACATCGAAAAGGTTTGGCAGTTGGTTCGCAATGACCGTCGCTTAACAATTCGCGTCATTGCCAACGAAATTGGGATGGACAAAGAAACGGTCCGCACCATTTTGGTTGACACTTTGGGAATGCGAAAGGTGTGTGCCAAAATGATGCCAAAGGCTCTTGAGTTGACTGAGGAGCAGAAAGCTCAACGATTGAATGCATGCCGAGTTGACCTGCATTTTTCCAAGTTTGACACAAAATTTAATGTTAATTCTTTGCTCAATCGTCATTCTGCAATTGAACCCCCTATCGCCAAAAAACTCAATCAGACCTCGCACAGCATTTGTTTTCAACAAGAAATTTATCACATTCACTTATGGATCCTGAAAAGCAAAAATAATTGCGATATTTTGTCAAAACAGCTGTTAAACAAAGAACACGTATTACGCCACACTGCAAAAGTGTTGATTACCGATGGTTTATCGTGTTGCGCAATCTGTGACGTCAGTCCCGTTTCATTTTAGCCGCACCTCGTATGTGGATAACAAATCATTGAAATTCCTAGATTTCCAGGAAATAATTGGGGAATCGGGATTGAAAAAAACAGTCCAAACCCGGGATTTCGGGATCGAGATTTCCCGGGGTCCCGACTCTACATAGCACGGTACCCGATTGAAAAATACTCAGTTCGCACGTTCCGTAATTTGACAGTAGGCCTATAATTTAGCGAGGTTTGATAGTAAAATGGAGGCAAACAAACAGCAAAATATTATCCAGTTCAAACAGTTCTCCTTCGCCTTGCAGAAACTTCATTAGAACAGCGTTTAACGCGTTTAAAAGATAATAAGAGACAGCAGCAAATTTTTCATTGAATTGGATTGTCCTTCCCTGCACCGCCTATTTTTGTCCTAATTGCATTCCTTTAATTACAGTTTGTGTTCATGACATTTTTGGTTAATTTTGAAGGTCCGCCGGTCCGCAAAAATTATTTTGAAATTTTACCGGTCCGCGTACTGAAAAAGGTTAAGAACCACTGGTCTGAACCTCACCGGTTTTCTATTTCAACTAACAAACGCTTACTTCTCCAGCCAGCCTGGATGATTTGTCTATTTTATTTCATTCAATTTTAAATGCAACTTGGGCCTCTGGCACATTTTTATTTCCCTTTACTAACATGAGCATCGCAGATTTTTTTCTATTTTCATCTTAAATTTCTTTGTCTCGACTGCCGCTGATTTATGATCTCTATTATGGCTTCGTTTTTATTCAGCCTTGATCGCTGACTGGGCTCTAGAATTGCTCCAGCCAACCTTGAGGATTTTTCTGCAGTGTAGTTTTTACCCACCGGGATTCGTATTTCCTCTCTCATTTATCTTGATTACCGCTGATTTATTCTATTATTTGTATGTTCATTCATTTCATTACGAATGGATCCGTTTTATTCCGCTTTTAATTTTGTATTTTCACTGTCACTCAATCATCTCTATTATCGCTCCGTTTTATTTTGCCCTGATCGCTGATCTCCTTGATTTGTTGGAGAGCTATGACGTTGCTTCGCTGGTGTATCTTTTCACGCACTTATTTTTTATTTCTGAACTGGCCTGCTGCTGGCTGGTCTGCCTGTCGCTGGATTCTCTGGTTTCTATTTCCTTCCCTACATCTCCTTGTTCGGCTGCTTCGGCCCCAATTGCTCGTCTGCTCTCTTTCCCCTCTCGACCACCTGTCTTGTCTTCTGGTCATTCTCTCCAAGTCTACCCTATGGAGTTCGAACTCACTCCACCCACACTCATACCTGACCTGATGTTCGGCAGAATCTTACTTAATTAACAACGTCACGCGTGGCAGCCCACGAAGAGACAAATCGGCGCTTTCCCTAGTTCTGATGAAATATAAGGTAATCGGTGTAAAGTAGGCAATGGCCAATCAGTTTCCATTTTACCATAAATGTTTTTCTTGGAATTCTATTGCATTTCTGTCAAGGAAAATTTTGTGGTGCTCCCTTTTCCTTGGTGCCGCCCTATGCACAATGCCCTTTTTTCTTAATGGTCAATTCAGCACTGACTATTACCTATAGTCTATAGATATACTTACCCCAAAGTGCACACGAAAGATTTGTCGGTTCAACGAGTTAGCATCCATAAGAAGAAAACAATGTAACTAAATTTGACTATTTATCATTATGTTTAATAATGGCAAATCAATGGCATCTGTATAAATCTGGATACCCGTCAACAACACAAGATCTTGCTGATATTTCTAAATGGTTTTATTCGATTCGAGTGCAGATTGACGAAAATTTTTTTTTATTGCTGAAAACCAAGTACGCTTCTGTGTTAACTGATTCTGTTCAGAGAATCCTAACTTAAGTTATTCTTTTCCGTTCAACATCCACAATTGCCATAACATCGCTCTGGAAATGTTGGGAACCACTGTTCCAAAGGTCAACTTGTTCTTTTAGCAACATTTTAAATTCTTAAAGATTTTTGTATATAGCTGTAACATATTTAAAATAATTTTTAATACAAAGTGACAGGAGTAAATTATTCAACAATTTTTCTCAAGCCAAGGTTTCTCACTCAGAACAATGAAGTTAAAAGTATATTTCACTCCAGTTCCATTTTTTCTCAAATTTTCGCATTAATGCAACCTTGTGGCTGAGAACACACTCGCTTGTCAACCTTTAATTAAGCGTCAAACAATTTTCTATTTTCTCCACTGTGTTGTATTATTGAATCCTTGTGTTGTTTTCAAGCTCGTTGTTTATTGCTGGCACACTCTCTGAGCATGTGTTTCAGAGCTAATGTCTGAAAACATGCTAGTACAACAATGATCAAGCATATAAAAACAGAAGATCTGAAAAGTGAAAATATTATCATTAAAGTAGGTGAAAAGGCATAACAGGATTGAGCTATTAACTTTCTCATTTCAGGATAAATTTAATCAACATGCAGGCCTACCTGTCAATATATTCCAACATGGAAATCATTTGTTCCATATTAGAAGCATCTTCTAACTTCTGGTAGTATAAATGACTGTATATTCGCATTGCTATCATTGCGAGTTTTTGTGAAGATGTCTAAAAATGTAGTATATATATTTTATTACATTATTTGCTATAGCCACGCAGGCAGGACAGCCTGGAGTTTTGTTGTAACGTACCCCGACTATTTTATGAGTTAACATCTTATAGCTTAGGAAGGTCAAGCCCAGCGGGCCACTCATATATATACTATGAATAACCAACATAGGACAGAGGCATAACCAACTATAAATGAGTGGTTCAACCGTTATCGCATCAACCTTACTCATTTCAATTACTTGACGACGCTTTGAATAACCATAAAGCCCGTCTATATTTTAATCTTGTCGACAAAAGCAAGTTGAATTAATATCAGTTTGTCGGTCGTTGCGTAACACATGTCACGAGCTAGTTTAGGATGCCATTACCACCATGTTATCAGTAGTGATGCCTGTTTCGTTTCGTTCCTTGGCAATTTGCTTGATAGTAGCTTCATTTATATACGAAAATAACACTCGAACCTTCTTTCCACCGAATTTTTCTTGAGTATTTTGTAGGCAAATCTTGTAAACACCTATGGAATTGATGCAAGTATCAAAATATATATAATGTTACTGATGAAAATATTGAAACAACGCATTCATAGCCTTGCTGTAAAAATGTCAGGACAATTCATAGAAATAAGCTACCTGATTCACTTGCAATGATGTCCGAGGAATCATCCCTATCTTGATTATAAGATTTGAAAAAAGATTCACCGTTAGGGCTTATGATTTCCGCTGATATAATGTTACGAAAAAACGTTGATCCTGGAGTAATTACCTGTGGAAGTAATTAAAGAAAGGTCGTCAATGCTGTTTATCAGTTGAGTTAGGTTAAATGAAACGAGAAAGTCTGCTCGTTTTAGAAAAGTATGAATGACACGAATGTATGTTATTGCAAAAGGCATGTAGGCTATGTTGTAATACGAACTTACCCGGTATTGAAACTGCACTTTAGCCTGCGTTGGTATGTAATGAAAATAACAATCAATATCTCTGGGATTGAGCATCACAGAAAATTCTCTTTTTATTACAGGAGATAACGGGTTGAAGAGTAGAGCATCGGCTGAGGGCGGATACAATTCCATAGCATCTTTTGAAGCACGCGAGTTTTTGAATATTGCGCAAAATAATAAGATATAACATATATTCATTCTCGTCTGTGCGTCTTAGCATATCACATAAACAAGCCAACAATCTTTTTGAAGGTATATTATTGCTGCTGCAAAAACGAAATAAAGCCTTTTAATTTGTATTAGTATATATTTTCGCTTTTAGTGAGGAGCGGTCATCGCCTGGTTAAATAAAACGAAAATGCAGAAAAGATCAACGACTTGCATCTGTTCTAAAATACCATGCTAAAGAGTCTGCCACTTCAATTCTATAATAATGTAACATTACTTGTACTAACGCGACATCTTGGAGCTCTCACAGTAAGCAATTTATGTCCAACTCTACTGAAGTGAATAGCTGATGGGAAATATCCAGAACAAAACATCTGGTTATATATCTTAGATAAGCAAACCAGACGTTGCCATTTTATATTTTAAATATTATTCAAAACGTTGGTATGTAATATTATACCATGATCGTAGAAACACAAACAGACTTTATTGTGATTAGAGACTTGAATGAACTGTTTCGCTCATACACTCTCTCAAATGAGATAAAAGTAGACGGTTCGTTATGACGTCACTCTTCATCTCTTTGTGATTCTCCTGTCAACTTTTATTGTCTCCCTGGCGTATAACGGCCGGTACGTTTTATTATCCGTTTGTGCGTCTCCTTCCAAGCATTGCAAAGAACAAAAGTCTGCACTAGAAGTCTAGTTATATCTTGTAAAACAGTCTCGTTATTTTGATAACAAAACATAACAACGATTATGCTGAAGAGACGGAATGAACTTTGGATGATAGATCACAAATAGGCAAATAGTTCGAAGGTATATGGAAAGCCTAACTCTTGTATTATACCATATTTTCACACATTGTTAAATTGTGCATTAATGCATGAAGGGGAACACGACATAGTTCTGGACGTGTGTTCAATAAACAAATGAACAGTCTGACGGTAAAAATTCAAAACATTTGGCTCATGAATACGTATGAATGACATGGTACACATGGTAATGCTGACTGAACCCATTGAGCGATTGCAACTTATTAACACAATCATTTTAGATATATAAGAAACTATGTCTATGAAACAAATTGTCACGCATTATTGAGTCGATCCTCGATAGTACTCGACGCATGGCCCGCAACATTTACCCTTCCCAAAGATTCGAGATATTGCAATGATTACAGAATATTCTTGTGCGATGCAAAAAACAGACCATAAGAAAAACGGCGTTATCGGTGGCATGGACCACATTCATCGTCACGAAGCCCGTCTTTCTATTCGGTACATGCAATTGTCGTATCGTTTGAGAATGTTTTGAAACAGGTGTTTTGAAACGAGTATGTTTTGCTTTTAGTGGGGATCATAATTGTTATGGGTCGATTGCACAACAGCGCAGTATATAATCCCATCACTATATTTAAAGTATATATCATCAGGCCAACCTGCTTTCGACCGCGATCGACTGAAATCTTCAAAATAGCATGACCGACTGTTCGGTAATAAGGTCAAAAATGCACTGAATACACCGATGACTGCACACACTGCATGGTTACTGAATACGCAGATAACTACCCACATGCATACACAAATTCCACTGCTGCCAATAAGCTCGACTCTGCGGGCGCATTCTCAATGAAATTGGCATTTTTTATATGGTGCTCCCGAAGTATGCGAACCAAGATGGCGGACATCGGAACGTAACATGGGTAACAAGTTAGGGTAAGGCGATAATTTCTTCCCAATTTTCCTTATTTTAGTCCTATTATCAGTTCGAAGACTATCCAAGAGCCTCCCGTAGTATTTGTACCTAAAATTATGGCCTAACCCTAACCTAGTACACATATTACATTCCGATGTCCGCCATCTTGGTTCGCATACTTCGGGAGCCCCTTTTATATTCCATGAAATTTGTTAATTTGAATTTTCTGAATATAGAACAATGGGAACCGATAATAGCATAAATGATTTTATTTTTTGCAGTGTAATCGATAGTTTGCTGCAATGATAGCCTTTTTTAGACTGCGGAACACTTTTTATATCATAAATTGTTTGCGGAACGCCAAATAAGAATTTCAGATTTTTTGAAAAATAAACGATCCAATTAAATCTTGAAATGAAATATCGATTCTCAGTAACTCAATGATTTATCGACTCGATTTGAAAAAAAAACAAATTCAAATTGTGTGGCTATACAGAAAGCTTATGTACAAACTAAATTTTATATTGATAGAAAACGTTAAAATACGAGAATCATTCTAAGACAGGTAATATCTGTAAAGAGCAATGCCACTTTTATGATATCTGTGCGTACGCCTACTTCGGTGAGAACTGAGAACAAGTCATATTCTGGTATAGATAGACAAACACGCAGTTCTTTTTCAACAGTTATTATTTTTTAGCTCTGAAACTTTCGTATCGAATATTTATCAATAATAGTAGGAAGAGTAATGGATAAAACTTGCGTTACACGTTATGAATATAGCCGGAAAACAATCTTCTAGCCTACTATCTTCGCGAATATTTGTTCGTCTCAAGCGTCAAAATAAATTCAATTCAAACGTATTTTAACACGATTTTATAGTTTTATTACTTTTATTGAATATAATTTTTGCATGAAAGTCATGTCGACAACGATTACTGCGATTTTAGGGCCCACGTGGTCAAAGCGATAGAGTTAACTATTTTGGCATTGCAGATTACACATTTAATCGCAATTACAAAACAAAGCAAACTGTACACTGTAAAGTATATGGTGGAACGATACGACACCACGTGTCCATCAAAATAAGTTCACAGAATGTTGTCCTGCAGTATCTTGTGTATTCTATACATATAATATATATATTGGAAATCGAATGAAAATATTGAACTGTTGTTTGGAAAATATTCTCCCCGTTGTTCATCTCACATTTTATGAAGTTGGTCGGATTTTCATTTCCGTGAATTTGAGGGAGTAATGGTATCCTTTCCAATGACGCCAATTGATCCCACCGTAAGGAGAGTGTGAACCACCTTTATGATATATTCCGTTGAGATTGGCTTCATGGCATGAACCATACCACCACGCTCCCTTGTACGTTGAAGCGCAATTGTTGGGCCAAGTATCGTGATCGCGATCTTTGGTTGAAAATTTCATCCCATTTTCTCGTGACATGGAGTCCGTAGCATCGCCAGAATAAGCACCGAGATTTATCCGATACTTCGTACTTGCACTGCCGATCTTGAAAATTCTACAGACATTAAATATATATATATATATATGTATTTACTGGAAAGATAGATACTGAAACATTTCAACTATGTAGTCATTTTTCATATTTATATATATATATATACATATATATATATACATATACCGTATATATTCTAACATTGCAAAAGTTTGAAGAGAAACCCAAGGATTTTTCATACCACAGAATGCAATAGACCAATTTGGCATACAATTTTGAAGTCTACTGTAAAAACCTGTTAATCAAGTATTAAAAGCGCATTTTTGTCATGATTAGGAAGCTTTCTCTACATAAACGCGTGATACTTCAGTGCAAGAGCAAATATAAAACTATTGTGATGCTATTGTAATTTTTAAATGTACGAGAGGAATGAAAACTCACGAGTATCTTGCGTATTTCTTTACGCCAGACCAATCTTCGAGATCTATTCTGAGTTCATAAGACCCGGATGACGTTATTTTGTGTAGCGTTTCAAGACCTTAATGAAGAAAGATTTAGAAGTAGTTCTTCTACCGTTCATATAAAATATGTAAAAAATGCCCTATCTGTAAACTTTGGATTTTTTTTTATTTAATGTTGTTTTATAACTAGACTAAATGATTTGCGTAGCGGGATACCAAGTTTGCTAATTGTTCAAAAATTGTTTACGTTTGCCGTAGTTATATATCTATTTATATTTTAATAAATTTTTCTTGATTGGACCTGGTGACATTGAAAAATGGAATTGTATTTATCGAATATAAAGACTTAGCACACTCTGAGAAAGTTTTTGCCAAAAAATACGTATTCAATATTCATTTATTCACCAAAGCAAAATCATTTCACGACCTAACATCGGAAAATTAAAAAAACTTAAGAGTGTCCAGTTAATGAGTTTTCCCAAAAGAAAGCTCCCATAACCTACCAAGCCAAAATTCTCCTTTTTTATTGCCGAATCCTGTTACGTAGTCATTCCATGACCTGAAGAAGTCTTCACTTCCATCTTTTCTGCGTTGAAATACCTAAAAAAAACAGTTTCTTTTATTGTTCGATGTTATGTTAAATTGTTGGTAAAAAATTATACTGAGGCCGATTTGACGACAAGACTGGTCAATATTTCTCACTGTATAGAATTTCAATAAGGATATTGGTAGATCAAACTTTTCTAGAAAAAAAAACCGACATCCGAACTGAGAACTCAATTATTCTCAATATTTAAAATAACCAAATCAATCGAATAGCAGTATTTTTGGAGTAGCGCGTGATATATATATGTTTATGAAAAAGATGATTTAGATTTTAGACAATTTTTGTGATATAGTTTTGTTTGCTGATGTCAGAAGGTCGCAATTGTTAACAAGTGAACAGTATCACACAATCCATCTTCCTCCATCAGTTTCCATATCACAATAAACTTCTGTCTGTTCTCGTCCTGGATATATATCAAAAATGCCCCCTGTTTCGCTAGTTGATTTTATATCTTCCATCGATACTTTACTGCAATCGGTTACTGTACGGACACGTAGTTCTGGAAAATTAACAACATATAGTGTAAGCGCCTCGTACGGATATATATGTCTTGAAACATTCCGCATTTAACTTACCTTCTGTTAAATTCTCAACGGCAGCTTCACAACTTGCTACTTTTCTATTCAGCCGATTTTCAGTATCTTTAAAACAAGAATGGGTCTGATACGATGTGATGCAGGTTAATATGGGAGAATGGATTACCAAATGTATGTAGATTTCCAAGTGTTTTATTACAGAATTGCTTACTCATCTGAGAACAGTATTTAAAGAATTTATTGCAACAAACTAATAATTTTTTACATAGAGTCTAAGTATGAAATGAATGTTGTCGAAAATAAAGAGATGGTGAATTGGTAA